CATTTTGTACAGCTATAAAAACATCCAAGCCTCTCTCGACAGTCCCACGGGGTGAGCTCCCCTGCCTACGAAGAGACATCCCAACCCACCCGCCCCCACAGCAAGCAACCCACTAACAGCATCTCATGGACATAACAGCTTCCCCATCTTCTTCATCTGGGAAAAAGCCACCCACTCCCCCGTGGCCGCCACGATCTTCATGGCGGCCCTCTTCATCGTCTCCCTGGTCGCCCTCAACGCCGTCCACCAGACCGCCTCGCGCCTCACCTGGTCCTTCGCCCGCGACGAGGCCCTCTTCTTCTCCCGCCGGCTAGCCGGCATCCACCCTTCCCTCGGCGTGCCCGTCTACTCGCTTCTCCTCGACGGCCTCGCCGTCCTCCTCGTAGGCATCGTCTACGTCTGCTCCACGACCGGTATGCCTTTCCCCTATGCCTGCCCCAAAACCTCCCATCTCCACAGAACTCCCCCTCCTCGCCAACAACTAACGAAAAAAAAAAAAAAGCCTTCAACGCCTTCATAAGCACAACCGTAGTCGTCGCCCAAATCTCCTACGCCATCCCAGCGGCCCTCCTGCTCACCCGCCGCCGAAGCCCGGACTACCTCCCGCCGGACCGGACCTTCCAGGTGCCCCACGCGCTGGGCTACCTATGCAACGTGGTCTGCATCCTCTGGGCGATCGTCATCACCATCTTCTTCACCTTTCCCACTGAGTTTCCGGTCACGGGGGGAACTATGAGTACGTTACCCTTGCCCTCCACCTCATCACGCCAAAAAGAAAATCAAAGAGGGAAGAAGAAAGAGAATAAACCCGTCCTGCGATTCTCTACCTCATCCCCCTTGGCCCCAGATGCACACTTCACCCGGATAGTTTACTAACTGGGAAACCCCCCATGGGGAAATAAGATTACGCCTCCGTCGTATTGGCCATCATGCTCATCCTGGGCGTGGGGAATTGGTACGCCTACGCGCGGCAGCATTATCATGGGCCGCGGTTGGAGATGTGATACCGATTCCGAACAATAAAGAACTTAGCCGAGTATATGTATAGCTAGTTCACTAGCTAGCTAGCGAGCTAGCTACAAGCTAGCCAAGACTATTGATGCCTAATGACAAGTACATGAACCTTTACTGCTAATTCGTGCACGTTTCGATTCCCAATAGGAGTAGGACGTTCCTTTCATGATCCCACATCTAAGCCTGGAGTCTGGATTTCCACAATCTAGGAATCAACTCACGTGGGCCAAGTTTATCCTCTATCCTCTGGATTCCCGACCTGACAGGGTTGATATACTCATCTACATGTGTGTATGTATAGACACATACCGGTATACCCAAATGTACACAGGACCTTCAGTGTGTTAAACTGGACAAAGAGAAGGATATGGAGGCATTAATGCCCCAATGAAGTTTTGAATGGGAGTGTTCACCGCATGTTACCCAGCTAAGGCATAAGTCAGGGTGTCCGACAGTATCGGTTGGATCGTCTTCGTGTAATGACAATCTCGACTATTCTTACGGTAAACCATGTAGAGACTTGGTTTGAATAGTTTACTCGGTTAGTAGATTTGAAGGGCATGACATCATGGGACTAGGAGACCACTCGACAGATCACATGCCCTAGTCGACGCCTCAAGACGAAGGCATACCGTTGGATACAGTCAGAAGTGGCAAAAGTAGCATTCAAATAAATCAGAATTGGATTCTTAAGTCGCGCGAATGCTTCTGTTTCGTCTGTACTCATCCTTGGAGATCGGATCATAGTTCAGGTGAAAAAAAAAAGGCTTATTGCAACCAAGATATCTACTCGTCACAAACCAATTCCACCACAGTCAAGATTGCCGACGTCACACTCAACGGATACTGGATGAAGCACAAAAACCACCACAGTGACGAAAGCGCAGGAAACGAGCTCGATGCGCACGCTCAGCAGACATCAAACGGACAGTAAGAGGTAAATGATAAATTAAATGCCATGCGGCTATGCAGGAGGCCGGTCATTCTGGGACATTCTCTCACAGGCACAACCTCAAGAGCCTAGAGCCCGATTCCCAGCCAGAATCAATCACACAAATCACCGGAGGACAAGAAAGCCGCATTTCCACAAATCAAGCAGTGCAACATATGAGATTAGAACATAAGAAAATCGGAAATTATCCAGGAGCGAGGCCCGTGGCGCGCAACAGCGACAAGATTGCTGCCGCGCCCACGCTGGACGGCCCCCTCATTCCCGGCGCCCTTTTCAGCTAAGCAACTCGAGCGGTCTAGTGGTGTGTGTAAGCGGGAGTGGCGGTCGTAGTAGGGGGTGTAATAGAAGCAGCAACGCCATTATCGGGAGGAGGTTCGTTTCGTTTAACAAGGAGGAGAGGTTGGGGGTCATGGATCGATCATGGCGTCTAGCACATTTCACAGCACTCGATGCAGTCAAAGCAGCACTCGCAAGTCTCTTCGCACAGACACAGACAGCACAGAGTGGCCAAGCTGCGCAGAAAGAAAATATAGGTTAGCGGGAGATACTGGTGGATCTGGAGAGGGCAATGCGATGGATCGCTTACCAGGTTCCTAGACAGCCGCGGTCCTTCTGCTGGGGAGGGGGTTGCTGCTGGTACTGCATGGGTTGCTGGAAGGGTACGGTTAGTGACAATCAGTGGCGTACACTCGGGTCGCAACGTACAGGAGCATAGCCCTGGGGAGGAGGACCCTGAGGGGGGTATCCGCCCTGAGGAGGGTAACCCTGCTGGTAGCCTTGCGGGGGATATTGGCCGTAACTGTAGGGAGGCGATGAGTTAGCGGTGGTTGCGCACGGTGAGGTGGTCGGGATCAGTCCCCAAGACACACGGGTCGGAGGAGCGCAAGGCAGAGGAACTTCATGACCAGTTGAGCATGAACCCTCATGGCGCTCGACAAGTCTGTCGGGTTGGATCCGCCATTGTTGTCTGGGGGGAGAGAGGACAAGCCGGGGCGCAACAGGAGGCTCGGAGGCCAAGGGACCGGGCGCAATGGACGAGGGAAGGGGAAAGGACTTACGCCTGCTGCGGCGGAGGAGGGCCGTTGTAGTATCCTTGTTGAGACATGGCGACAAGAACGGGATCTAGAGAACCAAGAGATGCGAAGCAATGATGGTCAACGGAGAGAAAGCTTGGAAGAAGGAAAGAAGAACGGAGAGTTCGGGAAGACGGGTTGGGGTTGGTTCAGTTGAGTGAGTGAAAGAGTGGTGAGTGAATTGATTGAGTGAGTGGAAGCCGGCCGGGTCTGAGAGGGGGGGAGGGAGGGAAGAGGGAAGAGGGAAAAGAGGAACCAAGTGGCTGAGAGAACCAATAGAACCAATAATAACAGGGAGTGGAACATACCTAAGATTACGCCAAGCGTAGGATGGACGGAAGTAAGACAGAGAAAGCGAGAGGGAGAGGAAGAATGAAAGAGAGGTCAGATCAAATAAGTCAAGCAGAAGGAAAGAAAAGGGGGGCGAGAAGATCAGAACCAAAAAGGGATGATTGATTGATTGATTGATTGATTGATTGATCGAGTGAGTGAGTGAGTGAGTAAGTGAGTGTGCAGGATAAAAGGGACGGAGGAAAAGAAGAAGGAGGATGGATGATGGATTGATGGCTGAGCTCATGCAACGAGGCTGAGGCCGCCAGGCTTACTTCTTTAGTCAATAAAGTTACCCTCGGCGTATGGAGTCGTATGGTATGGTACCTTTCCCCCCTTCCATCATCCACTGCCTACAGTGGCCCTGCCGTATTCGTATGGTTTCAACCTTCTCTCAACTGCATCTGCGACCACGAGCCAATTTGAATCGTGAGCCCGCCCCCACACGTATTATTGATCATTGATGATGGCTGCCAGCCAGTGCCAGTGTTATTTGGAGCATTCCGCTTTCAATCCGCAACTCACTAGGTCTGAATGACGCATGGGTTTCACCCTCAGCGCTTAATTACCTTGCTTGTAATGGCCAGCGCATGGTTAGTCAACTACAACCACCGATCTATACTTCCAGTCCTTGATAAAATACCGAATGGTATCAGGTACAGACAGAATCATACCATTTACTGAGTACGGTGATGGTGGACCAACACTCAGCCACACCGCAGCAACCCGCCCAGCACGCAGCCCTACGGGAACCTTTCCTCTTTCCAGACCGCAGACCGCAGACCGCAGACCGCAGACCGCTTAGGCACCAGCCACGAGCGTTCATCGTCTCTGGGTCCAAGGTCCCAGAGACCCTCTTTTTCTTCCCGATTCCAGTAACAGTGCCCAGACACGGGCTCGTTGCCCCAGATCATGGATGGTTCCAGACGCTGTGACGCTGCTCAGTTAAGGTAACTTGGCAGCCTGCTGGTCGGGTCGGGTCCAAATCCCATAGACCATTTGGGAATTGTCTGCGACCAGACACGCCTACGGTTCATCCCGCCTGCTTACCCGATTCGTGCCGTGCTGGCTGTGGTTGTGCTGATCGATAGGGACTTATGCACATAACTGCCTCTAACTACGAAGGCAGCACGTGAGTGGAGGCTGTATGCGCATTGGAACATTCATTGGACTCACGTGACCTCCATCTTCTCTAAACCGTGCACTTGTATAGACTCATGTTCGTCTAGATCTATGATAACAACCTTTTAGTGACATAGTGGTTAGACTAGAAGAGCGTCACTAAAGCTGCTAGCCCATCGGTTCCCTGTTTCATGCATACAGAACTCCTTATCTCAATAATCAATATCTAAAGTATCTGGCCAGATCTACCGCAGCCTTGGCTTCGGTCATTACCCTGTTTACCCTGTCCCTCTCTGTCTGCCTAGAAAGTAAATAGATCCCCGGAAACATCCCCAGAAACAAGCTCTCCAGATCTCATCCTCACATGCACCAAGTCAAACCTCCCAATGACAATCCAACCAGCCACCCTCGCCGTCGAAGACAGCGATAACAACAACATGGACCTTTACCCCCCAATCCTCCAAAACTACCTCGCCAACAACCTCCCCTCCCCCGCCGCCGCCGCCGCCGCCGCCACCACCATCGCCTCAACCACATTATCCCCCCCAGCCTCCGAAGAAAACCTCGAAGACCAACTCACCCGCCTCTGGCGCCTAATCCTGACCCTCGCGCACCAAACCCCCATGCACCAGGCCAAACTCGTGGACCTCCTCACCGCTCTATCCCAGCTCCCAGACGCCACCGCCCTCCGAAAGAACGAAGCCGAAGAGAAACCGCTAATGATCCACGACATGCAAGTCTGGCAAGACCTCCCAATGCTGGGCTGGGAGATCCGCCACCGGTGGAACGACTCCGTCCCAGCCCCAGGTCCAGGGGCAGAGCGCGACGCCGCGATCGCAAGGATCGGGAATGTGAACCGCTTCGTCGCGCGGCTGGTCGCCACCCACGAGCCGGTCTTCCGGCCGCACGCGTGGTTCGCGCTCGTGACGCTGCGGCGGGCGCTGGAGACGCCGTGGGCGCAGATGGCCCCGGAGGATCCGCGGGCGGCGTGGGTGCCGGCGGCGGCGGCGTGGATCGAAGTTCTCGGGGCGGAGATCTACGCGTGGGAGGAGGAGTACGCGGCGGGGCCGGCGGCGGGGGCGCCAGGGCGGGGCGGGCCCCTGTGGCAGGGGAAGCATGGGTTCTGTCGGGAGCGGTGGGGTCTTTGGAGGGAGAGGTTTGGCGAGGTGGCGAGGTTGGATGGGGAAGATGTGCATGTGCGGAGTGTGGCGGGGAGAGCGGAGCGGAGGATGAAGGTGATAGAATCGGGCGCAGGTGGAGGAGATCTGAGGTAGGCAGATATGGGTCCTCGCGGGGTCTGTCTGGGTCATGATAGTCACGATTCGTGTTAGATTATTCAGATGTTCCTACATGGTCGGAGTTTGGATAGTATTATGATTTCAACCCTTTCTCTTTCCAGAGGTAGTTGTCGAACTATTTTCCTATATCCACTTTGGGCCTTGGTGGCAACTTCCTGGCGAATTCTAGTCTAGATGATCGGGGAGGATATGTATAGATAGGGCGATTAATCAGTCTATCGTTGCACTCACTATAGTATACGATCAGAGCTATAAGAATTGCTTTCATCTCCGACTTGCCAGTAGTGAAAAGCCCATTTCTTGAGCTCCAGGATGCATCAAACCACTGACCTGATATACTATCAAACTAAGTCAATGTCCAGTTGTAGACCCAGGTAATAGCCCGACATAACAACAAACTTGTTCGGTCAGGCCCTATACCGATCAACGCCTGCATTCAACCCACCACATTCAGCGGTAGTTCATCTGTCGCGCAGGTAGATTGGCAGCGCACGCGCATGCGATATGCCTGCAACTCTTCTCGTCCTTGATCAAGGATACTATCGTCGTCATCTTGATAAATTGATGGATAAGCATCGTTGTGCAACCGGCTCGTCTCGATGACATTGAACACTTAGACTCCGGCAAAGAGTTTCTAGGCTTACGGCGCAGCAACGCCGGATGATAGGACAAGTTCCCAGAAACGACATCGACGGCAAATCACATTAAAGCGTCGGATGGCAGAGGGTCATCATCCTCTTCGGCGGTAGTGATGGCCAGGCTATCGATATATTGATATGCTGATCTAGTCACCGCATGTCCGGGGGAACTCAGGTGCATTATATCCTCTCCGCATTGGGACTAGCAGCAGATAGCGCTAGTTGTTTAGCGCCCCGGTGTTCTCAAAAGCGATGATGACGGGCGGGTTGGGAAGCCAAAAAAGTCATATGAAGAAACTTTAGGTGTACACAGCTTGTTGAGAGTCATATGACTAGTGGCATGTTTCAAATCGAGTAACAGCGCTTGGTGGTTAGTTGTATTGGGAATCGCTAACGGGGCATTTCGGGATTGACACGCGCTTTTGTGCAGTCACCCCACGCGTCCGCGCCGCTCAGCGAGCGTCATAGTCAGACCTAAAGTGCAGGTGGAAGGAGAAGTTGCTTCGGTCAATGATGCCGAATTTTGCAGAGATCCTTTTTGGTGATGAGGAAATAGCAATGGAAATGGTTAGTGCCAGACAGCCTCCCATGCTCATCGTTTCTCTTCTAGGCTGTGCCGCTGAAACACCCTCACCGCCGCCTATCCAGCCACTGGGTGTCACCGCCCTCACCGGCACTCGGAGTCTTGCGGACGCCGGTCAAACTTGTAAAACTAGTAGTAGTAAGTCCAGATTAAGTACCAAGCATCATTATAATGGGTCGGCCAGTCGCCATCCCTGCCTTACCCTACACCGCCTAGAGGTCAGGAGAGCAAAGCAGAGAGGCTCTCAACATTTCCTCTGGACATCGTATTCACTAAATCAATATATTCAGGGTTCTGTGTCTGGTAGATTGTCTGCTCATCACACATTATGTCGTGGCGCGCCCCCAGGGCGGCCTAGAGGGCGATGAGATCGACCCTTGGTGTCTGAAAGAAGAAAGAAGAGGGTAGGAAAGAGTACCAAAAGAGAAAAGAAGAATAAATGGCGGGAGAAGAGAAAGAAAAAATTGGGCTGGGGGAAAGAATAATCATAGACAAGAAAATCCCGCAAGAGAAAAAAATTTTCAAGGCCAAAGAATTAGTATCACATCAGGCTGGAATGCCAAGAATCAAACAGAGAAGATAAGATGAGAGAAAATGCCCAAACATGCAAGATTAATACCGAGGGGATGAAAAGCGCCCAGCAGATGGCACGATCACACATACGAGTCAATCTCAGGGGGGAGCGTTGGCGATTCAAAATAGCAAGGCGTCGGGTCAAGGGGAATCTCCATGCCCACCGCAGAAAACGTAGCCATGGGGTCATATCCGTCAATAAGGGCGGTCTCTAAGACTTGAGAAGAGATCTCGTCAGCCGCTGCCAGGGGCAGACTAGAGAATGATACATCTTCAGTGCCAACCACCAGCGGTGCGGCCGTCAGATCATCCCCTAACGATTCCTGGTTATTGAAAGTCGGGGCGTTGCCCACAACAAACTCGGTCTTCTGCACCATCCAGTGCTTCAAGACATCCATGGGTGGGTGGTTACCGCCCCCCTTGCCGCCGCGCTTCTCGCTGTCTTTGCCACGGCCACCCCGACCGCGTTGGCAGGGGTTGAAGTGGGTTCGACGGAGATGAGCCGCGGCGTTATAATTAGCACCATATCGTTTGCCATTGCGGCAGGCCTTGCAATTGGCCAGGAAGGACTTGTCAGGAGAAATATCAACACAAACCCAAACCTTGCGAACCACGGCATGCACCCGCTCAATATGCCGACGCAGCTCGTGCTCCCCGTGGAAGCCGTCCGGCTGGTCATTGCACATGTTGCAATACGTTTTCGGGCGCGTGGGCCGTTGGATCGAAGCTTTCGGGATGGCGGCCACCTCCTTAGCCGTTCCATCTGAAGACGAGATCCTGATCATCTTATGCTGCTCACCCACCTTGGGTGGTGAGCTACTCTGAGGTTCCGCTTTGGGGGCAATGGGGCGAGCGCCCTGCATAATCTGTTCTTGAGTTCTGCGTGCTGCTCTGGAGGGTTGGGAAGCGGATGAAGGGCTGTCATTCTCAGTAGATATTGAGGGCTTCATCTCCGTCGCTGGAGATGCGGAGAAAGTGGGGATGGGGGAGTAGTATGGGGTAGAAGAGGGAGCAGAGCACGAGAAGGAAATTGGGGCAGCGGAGTCAGGGTAGGAGAACGCGAGATCATGAACGGGATTTTGGTGCAGGGGGTTGAAACTGGTGGGGAAGGGAACATTCATCGGCGAACTGGAAGGCATGAATTCGGTTGATGGGACAGAGAAAGAGAAAGTGGAATCAAGATTTGGTCCGGAGGAATCAAACCTCATCATGCCAAACCCCCCGCAAAGCGAGTCGGTGGTGGTACTCCTGCTCATCTCCACCGCGGCCGGCTGGTCGGCCATCGTGGGGTTGGCCAGAGTAGTGAAGTCAGCCATCAGCTCAGCCTGAGTCTGAATCAACTGCGACCTTTGTTGGTCAAATCCGGAGAGCGCGGGATCCGCCGAAAGCGCCATGGAAAGAGCCGAAACGCTTCCTTGGCCTTGGAAGTCACCCAAGTACTGCTTGGCGTACTCCGAGGGGGTATATTCGTTGACATGGTCTAGCCGGCGCTGCACGCGCTGAGGTCCATAAGAGTGTCGATGTCCCTTCACATTGGTGGCGGCCAGCGACGGGCGGTGTGAAACCGGCGTTTGCTGACTCTGTGAGCGGACCATGGCCGTTTGTCGAGAGGACCCAGGACCCGAGAAAGTAGCCGCGGTATCCTTCCGTGAATTGGTTCTTGACAGGCGCCGAGCTGTCTCAGGGGCTGCCGGGGAGGAAGCATGAGACAATTCGCGTGTCAAGTCGACGGTCACTGGAGGTTCCGGAGTCTGCCATTTGTCAATCCAGGGACAGTTGTCGGGAGATGGAAGAGAGAGGCAGTGAGATCATGGAGTAACGCGATGAGAACAGGATGGGTAAGGACGAATACATGAATAGAAGGCGGGAGCAGAAGACCAAGGTGATTCACGTACGGTGACTCGTCGTTTCGGTGGGGGGAGACCAGAGCCAGGGAGAGTCCGGGGAGTATCCTGTCGCGTCCTTTTCCCAGACTTCTCCAAAGCAGCGCTGTCGTCTTCGGGAACTCCAGAGCCGGGAACCGGGCGATAGCTGGAGGAGGTATCGAACGAGGAAGCTGACGAAGAGGCCGTGGTGGTCATGAACTGACTTAACCGCTGACTCCAAAGTTGATTCCGCTCGGATTCCGGAAGGTGGGAGTGTCGAACCAAAAAAGCGTCCCGATACCCAGAGATAGCCCTTGTGAACAGTTCGTCGTCGGCCATGGTGCCAGCCATAGTGGGTGGGGAGATCCTCTCTTTGCGTGTCGCCTCTTATCACGTGGGGCAAAGGAGAGCTGCTATCAGTATCAAGTGACTGGAAAGGGTAGGAGGGGTTCTCTGCAAAAAAAGATGTTAGCATAGTAAATTCCACGAAAGTTGAAATGAACAGGATAGGTGATTAAACAAGCGAGACTGACTGGATGTCTGTGACAGCTAAGAAAAGGCTGCCGCTGGTGAGTGAGTGGATGGGAGTAGTCCTGGCGGGGACGAATTCGCGGATGCGGTCCCAGACAGTAGATAGTATAGAGAAAAGGAAGAGAGGATAAGAGGAGAAAGGACTCGCAGAAAGTAGGAGTAGATTGCGAGAGAGTAGCAATGTGAGTGGAAAGAGGTTAGGAAATAGGAGGGTGGGAAAGAAGAAAGATGGAGTATATGAAGAGTAGGAGGTAGGAGGGAAGTGGGAGAAAGTATATGGGGATCCCAGATTTATGCGACGAGGAGAATAGCGATAACGATAAAGAACGAGGAGATCAGGGAGGGAGGGGGGGTTATCAGTTTAATAGAGCATCTACCATCCCCACAGCTTGGGCTTGGTTGAATGGGTCGGGAGAGAGGGTCTAGGGTGAAACTAAGGTTGAGAATTGAGATTGGGAGAAGAGATGATGGATGGGGGAGGAAGAGGAGGATGAAAACAAGAGAGAAAGGAAAAAAGAGAGAAGTATCGGGAGAGAGAGCGCGCGCGCAAAAGATCCGTCAGAAGGGGAAGCAGTAAGTTGCAGGTTAGTTTGGGAGTGCCTCCTCCATCAAGAGGGTTGAAACTGGGCGGGGATCAAAGATGGAGGGCCGGATTGGAGGGCGCAATGAGGGTTCCAGACCCTCTTGGGGGGGGGAAGAGGGTGGGCAGAAATCCCTTATCCTTCTGTTTTTGTTTTTGTTTTTCTTATTTTTAATTTCATTTTGGGAGCAATGATTTATCCATATTTTCTGAGATTTCTTTTCTATACTAACTACAACTATTCTGGAAAGTCGACTATCTCACTTACATACTTGGATCACTTCAGGAGCTTATTCTTTTGTGGTTACCTTCCCCATACTTTTTACCCGCCCATAACAAGACAAGCAAAGATTAAGAGAAAGCGACCATCAACAAACAAAATGAGACAGTATCAAGATTAGTAGAAGAGAAGAAGAAATTCTCAACAGTAGCAAAGACGAGAGGAACAAAAAAGATAGACCGAAAAAAAAAAGTAATACTATGGGGGTTCTCTTCCATTCCTACCTACCATGATGCTCTGGGATGGTGATCAGAACACTAGTGCTATTTAGGCAATCCATCGTTCTAATTGAAGTGGTTGGCAATTGCCCATGTTCTTGCCATGGTTGGATGTTCCTCCCTAGAAGAACTAGTATCCAAAAGAGACTAGATTGGAAAAGAGTGAGAAAAGGGGATGGTGACACGCTGACTGTTCAACGGAGCCCGAATTGGCCTGGTTACAAGACTGGCCGGGTCAGGATACAGTACATTGGTGTGATGAGAGAGAAGATGGAATGGATTGGATGGATGGATGGATGGATGAACACGGTGTGTGCCCGAAAGTGAGGCGGCGAACCGGATGGCAGCAGCCTCCACCCGGACCAGCAGGACGACAGATGCGCTGGAGAGACTTGGATCAGTCATCCGAATGGTTGATTAGTGTTAGTCTGGTTATGGTGGAGGATGTTGTGCACGGGATTAGCTACTGACTACGGAGTACTTAGTACTGTATAGTACGGAGGAGTTTGTGCGTAGACTACCATTCCGTACTGTGTTCCGTCGAATAATAGGAATGGAGCCAAGTACCTCGGGGCGCAGTACCAAATACACCCATCACCCGGTCTCCATTACGGGTGGGACGCCCCTACGTCGGCCGCACTTTTTGCCCACGGAGGCGCCTACGGCGGTACATCGACATCCTTAGGCATTGACGTACCCAGTACTCAGTCATCTTCGTACCTCACCTGCTCAGGAATTAGGATGTCAGGATAGACCAGCTACGCCAATTCGGAACGACTGTACGGCTGCCACGTCGATTCGGGCTACACCCGTTCGGGCAATTTCCTACACATTCATCTTATTGGTTTCCTGAGATACTCCCTCACTTGGTCATCGTTCGCTTTTACTGCCACGAAATGACTGGAAGTACTAGGTATCCATGGACTCTCTACGAACTGTGCCTCGCTGCCCGGAGACGCACCTCCATTAGTCAGTCTTGCTCCTTCCAGTGCCAGTTTTAGCGTCAGTCGGGAGATGTGCGCTCACAGCAAAGATGAACAGCCCATCCTGCTTGTATCAAAGGTTCCCTTGATGTAATCATCTCTGGAGGGAGCATCCTTTACAAAAGTCGAGCACATGCCTCTTCCTCAAGCAAGTTGTGCCTTATCCTCCAGGAGCGCTCTGCATTCTAGCTGAGCCCACCTATCAGGTTAACCTAAGTGGCAGCTCAAATCGAGCATCATCCGCATCACCATCAACAACTCCATTATCGCAAACTCGTAGTGCTTGTGAAGTCAAACAAAGTACGTTGTTGGCTACCTATAACCACCAGGGGGCAGCAATCCAGGTACTTGAGGTACTCTCCCGGAGCCAACCCGCGGTACCACGCGGAATTCACCCAAGGTTCATTCGGTGTTATCTGCACATGGCCGACCTCTTTAAGACTGATACGATCAGTCATCTGTGACTAGCAAATCTACGGGATGCTAGACAGCCCGTTGTGGTTATTGGGGAGACCACAACCAGCCAGTGACGAAAGTCTCTCGTGAACTGCCTTCCTGGAATGAATTTTTTTTTTCTTTTCCCGGATCATCCTTGGGCGCCGTAACCGGCCGATCTCCAGACTATGGATCGATGACGGATGAATCAGTTTTGAGAGTGGGGCGCCAGAGGAGCCAGGAGTTATGCCACAAATCCCCAATCCAGACAGCATATAGTCACGTGATTACACGTGACTGGTCTCCAGAGGCGGGTTCTCCGCTACTTGTACGAACTATCGATTGCTGTCGTGGTGGGCGGTGGACCTTTGTGTGTTGGCGGTTCAGCTTTCACAGAAGCTCCCCTTCTTCCAACTGGATCCAATTCTACATTACCACGTAGAATGGGCAGGCGAGACATGTTGAGCTCAAGCGAAGAAGAGAACTGAGTTTGTGAAGTTTGCTCAAACTACTCCGTATGGCGCACTCCATTGATTCTCAAACGCCTCCCCGCCCAAAGGTTTTTTTTACCGAGAACATGATGTCCCCTATTCCTATTCCTACCAATCTATTATTATCGTCTACTTGGGCGGTCAACACGCAATCTCATCGTCCAAACCGTTGTTTCAGCGCCCACCGCCAACCCATGAAACCTGCCACGAATGTCACCGCTGGTTGTTTGTCCGACTGTTGCGTCCCTGGAATGGAAATTAAACTTGATCCAAGGAGGGGCAAATTGACAACTACTTTGTTGCTAACTTGGACTAGTAGTACATTAGTACATTATGGAGCAGAACGGATCCAGATCAACGGCACTTCTTACGAACCGTGTGGTTTGACTTAAAACGGGCAACAAGAGAAAGGCCTAATAGGCAAAACGCCATTCACAATTCATCATCCCACTTCCACCCCCCCTTCTCTTTTACACTTACACCAGCTATTGATTATCATATCTGAGGAGTTTCTCTTGTGCAAGTAGCAAGCCAATCAGCGTGTGAGCGCATGGGGCTCTGAAGAGCTTCCGCATTGACAACTGGAACTAATCTTCCTCTGAATGACCCCGGTTGGCAAAGCCCATTCCCCCTTTTCCGACCTCTTCGGCGATGACTAAAGTAGAAGAACAAAGAGGAGTGAGGGGGAGGGGTGAATAACAAAGTGGGAGACTCGTATGCAACAACTAATAAATTTACTCCACACTTTGCTATTTGAAATGGCTTGAATCTGAATGAACAGTGTGATAGTGGGGGAAGAGGAGGGGGAGGGGTGTTAGATAGGATAGCATGGTTTCCAATTTCATCTGGTTTCCCAGCTCAATACTACCAGTATCTAGACCACAGAAAGAAAAGGAGTATTCAATCAGCAAACTATTCTCAGGAGCAACAGAGGCCAAACCCATGGAAATTTGTTTCCGGCCGGGCACAGTCTTCTGCCCGATAAACCTAGATAGATTGGGAGAAATACTACAATCTGGTGTTCATCTTCATCCCTGTAATCAGGTTGCAGCAGTACACACAATTCGAAGAAAAGAGCAGCCGTTGATGGATGCTAATCTCCTGGGGCGGGAACAGTGATTTCACTCACACCATACTCGAGATACTCATAATAGGAACAACAATGGACCCAACAAAAATAGTACTGTAGAGACAAGTAACATGACGCTATCTCATCGGTTCTCTGCAAGAAAGAAAGCACTCCCATTCGACAAGCACCAAAGACGATCGGCGCCGCCAGGCGGGGGCCGCCAGACGGTTTTCGGTGCGATCGGCAAATTTTGCCCTGAAAGGGGGAAGAAGAACAAGGAGAGGGGGGGGTGGATGATAGGCTGGCATTGATTGATTGACCTTACACTTGGATCAACTATTGTAGGTCTTCACTACGAGTATCGTTCTTCTATGCAGGATGCACATCCTCCAGTATACTCTTTTGTCCTTCACTGAGTAGAATATGCAACTCTGGTAGCACGCAAGATAGTTTTCGGTGTTTCTTGGTTTCATGATGGAAGGGCTACAATTCCACCTGGCAGGATGAGGTCAGGTTAAATTTAGACATGAGCAATCCCAGAGCGGAGGAAAAGGGTTGATTGACTTACTCATCGCAAAATGGATTTTGGCGGGGGTCGTCTGATCGGGAAGATCTACTCTGAGTAGATGATAGCTGAGTCTGGAGGTAACTTACTTACCTTCCAGGCTTATGGTTGCCAAACTTCTCTTTCCCATGACAACATCTCCTTCAGTCCTCTGTCTCCCCCCTTCCCCCTCCACCCAATCTCTCGCATGCCCAAGCGAAAATCGTGACTGTGATGCCTTACAATGATCCCTGTATTGCCGGGACCACAAGCTCAGATCTAAAGCACGGTTTGTCAGGCTCAGACAACCCGAAGTGGAAGGTTGCTGGAATGGAATAAGTACTGTACAGTACCCAAATTCTTCAGCTACCAACTGGCTAAGGCCGCGGATGCCTGAACTGATGATGATGTCCATCGACTGACTGACCGACTGCCTTGTCGCTCACCCTGTGCCGATTACCAAGCCAGGTGGACAAAAGTAACCAACTTTGTGGTGTGATGTGTGAGGTGTGATGTGTGATGTGATGTCTTTTTCCGAAAGATCTCCTTGTACGGAGTACCCAACACCACTACCATTACCACCACCACCACCACCGAGCCTGCCCGGGCGTCCCTTCAAGACCTCTATTCTAGAATGGCGCTTGAGTCAGCCACCTATTCCCAATATTCGTCCCGCTGGCTCGGTCTGAATGGGTGCTATGACCGCTTGCCGTCACGGCGCCCAGAGGCTCTGCTCCCTGCTCCATCGACTCACATCACTGGATGCGCCGATGACGCGGCTGATCAGACAAGGTGCACTGGAGATGGCCTCTTGTTTGTGAGTCTGCTAAGCCTTACGCCTCGATGGGCAGTTGGGGACGGAATTCTGTCGCTTCGGCCTCGGTGTGGCTTTGTTTATGTCTGAGCATATGTGAAACGCCGCTTCCCCAACCGTAGGCCCCGCTACATTATGTGTCGCTGCGATGGCCACATAGGCAAAATATTTGTCTGGGGTAATCGATAGGAAGCCAATGCACAGTACAGCACTTGTTATTGCCGCTTTCCTTGAGCTATTCTGAGGCGATTTTTTGGTACTTTGTGCCCCCGACTTTGAGTGGACAGACGATCTTAATAGACAGTGGTATGCTGTGGTCGACTTGCGAGCGCATCAACAACACCCTATCAATACGACTTGAGCTCAGGTGTCCTTTGCACTGCAAACAAAATTTCTTGATTGACAGTCTGCAACACGGCAAGTTATCCTGATCCCATCGGACGAGTCTTTTATCTTGACATATTATGAATCAACGGTGCGAGAAGCTTTTAGCCGAGCTTCAGATGGCAAGTCTACCGACAACACCATTCTGCAGTCGCATGAATACATCAACGTTCAAGGACCATGTCGAAGTCTTGAAGCATGTGATCGGTGCCAAATTCTGAAGAGACATATCAGCCCGTTTCAGGTTGCACTGCAATCGACGGCCATGGTTAGAGAATTTCTATATATACCTCAAGTCAGCTACTGAGCAGGCACGTCAGCAAATCGCAGGACATCCTCATCTTGTTCCTCGCAAGGTCAATCCCGGCGTCAGTTTATAACTGGACTGCTCACTGAATTGTGACACTGCGGGACGAGTCATATACAGATAGGGTCGCGACCGCTAGCCATCCTGTAGGACGTTGTAGGCTGTGACACTTCGCACAGCGCCATCATTCACATTCAAGGTGGCACAGAACTTGCAATTTCTGCTAACTTCCCAGATGCAACATCAACCCTCTAGGATTCAAATGCCATCTTGTCATCTACAGGGACAGGGATGCCCGGCAATCAGCAGCCTTCCACAGAGTCAGGGTCAGACTGAACAGAAACGCATCTGACGCCAGGTTGTTGAACAGTCGAGGCAAGCCTACGAATGTTGGATTTTATCCAAAACTGGGTGGTGCATTTACAATCAATAATTTGCTCTGGCGTTCTTTGCATGGTGAGATGCACATGCTGGAAGCTACCAATGATCAGTCATTGGATATGAAGTCATGGGTAACCAAAAAAGCGGACAATCAGGGACCCGAGGAGTCAGTGATGGGTCTGAATGACATCAAGGGCGAAGTCTCTGGAGTGATGGGACATCGTTTGGCACGAGAGGCAGCACTTGCTCGCACTCGATATATAGATTATAAGACATGCAGCCTCGTAGGTTGGCAATGAAGCCAGATGACGATTACCAAAAGTATATAAAATAAATTAGAGCGAGAGCTCTCGGCGCTGCGACGCGACAACGGAAGGCACCGACCATCCAAACAACCTACTGCAAGTGGTTGATTGATGGCTCTTGTTCCGATGGCGGTCCGGAAGACCATAGGACTGACGTCAGCTTGCCACTACGGTGACAGATCCCCCACAATCGGCCAAGCTTGCCCTTGAGTCGAAGTGGTGGGTTAAATCAGAATGCAAATGCGATATTGCGATATATAGTCGACTGGGCATCCCATGCCTTCTTCTTTCTGCCCCCGACTTCCTAATTCTTCCTGGCGCCATTCTCCATCAAAAATAGATGAACTGATATGATCGATCGATCGACTAGTTGGTGTTTCACGCAACAAATAGTCTAATCTGTCCTTTTTGGTTTCGAATTAATTCTTTGATCCATTTGATCTATCGAAATTCCTGAAAAGAAAAAAAAGGGGCCTCCTTCAAAAAAGGGTGAATGGTCCAAACCATCACGTGATCTTTGTTAAAGGGGCCAAGTTTTGAGCCACGTCATAGCAACTTGGAATAGCCTTCAAGTTTGTTCAGTTCAAAGTTCGGTTTGTACGGTCCCGCGACGGTGAAATAATTCGATCGGAAGTGAGAAAGCGTTTGCGTTCGCATTTGTTGGAGCAAAAGGGGAAAAAGAGAACCTTGAAGAAAAGGGAAAGCGGAGACAGTCCAGTCCCAGAAGCGGAAACCGGGCAAGCTGGACCCTCCACTTCATTGACAGCAACGATCATCATCATCTTTCTCTTCTCCTGTGCAACTTTCCCTTCATCTTCATCACCATCCACCACCGCTATACTCTCAACTCGGCTTTCTTCTGTCGACACGCATACCTAAAAAGAGACCTTCCCGGCTTTCGCTTTCCTCTCCACCATGTTTGAAGATTCAGACAACAATCTATACCTCTTCACCTCCCTTACTGCGGGGTCATCCCACATCGTCACCGCAACGGCAACCCTGGAGCGGATCCTCAAGGCCAACAAGCTACCTTTCCTGGCCATTGATGTCGCAACCAACGATGTAGCCCGCAAGCTTTGGGGTCGTCGCGCCAAGGGCAAGAAGCTGCCGGGCCTAGTGAAATTTGGCAGCGTTATTGGGGTATGTACCCCGCATAGCTTCTGGCCACCGCGGGGAGGTTTGGCGGGGATGACGCGCCGCCCCCTCTTTGCCCCCTCTTCCTCCCATCTGCTACAAACAACCGACCGAAGACTAATTCTCTCGTACTATAGGATCTCGAAGAGGTCGAAGACTGGAACGAATATGGCGAGCTCAGAATGCAGATCAACAACGTCCAGCCCATGGATAGCATCTTCACCTCTGGCACGGTCGCGCAATCCGAATCCACCACTCCCGCCGTCTCTACGCCCACCACTGAAACTCCCGCCGTGAAGCAAAGTACCATCAAGATTCAGAGCCCCCCTGCAAAGGAGACTCCGAAGGATGAGTCTGCTACAGCTGCCATGCGCCTGGCCAGTGAGGAAGCTGCTGCCAAGGCCAAGGGTCACCCCACGAACGGCGACGCGAAGAATACCACGAAGGCCAACAGCAGCACCGTGCCAGCAACTACTGCAGAGCAGAAGCCGACCGAGCCTACTGCGACGACGAGCGTGGACACTCCTGCTGGGAAGAAAGACACTGCAACTGGAACTGAGGCTATCGAGATACCCGCCACTGAGGAGACTAGACCCAAGCGACCGCCGTTGATAGTCCCCGAGTTGGCTGCAGAGTCGTCTGCCAACATTCGCGCGGATGCCGCTGTGGTCGAGCACCATCGGGGGTCGATTGTCTCGGCCACCTCTCCCGAGGAGCAGGCCAAGGTCGCCCATGATCTGCGCAAGTCCATCTCCGGTGGCCACCAGGAACTGCTGAACTCTCTCCGTGAGGATGTTGCGGCCGGAGCCAACCAAGAGGAGACCATCGAGGAAGAGCCCGAGGTTGGCGAGCAGAAAGAAGCGGCATCGGCGACGGCGGAAGCCACCAAGGATAGCAACTAGACCAGGCGATTATTTTTTTTGTGGGTTTCTGTCGCAGGACGATAGCATTTTAGCTCCCGCCTTTGTGCATGTGTCACCTTACGCATGATCGCTTGCAACTTTTACATACCATGTACAGATACCAGACTTTATTTTCTTATTTCCCTTTCTCATTCGGATATTGTATGTTTGGCATTATGTTGTCGGTATTATCGACAGAAATTGCAGATGATCATCAGTTGCATGTCTCCGGACTTTTATTAAACTGTAGCTCTAGAACTCTGGACTGTTTACTATCATATCTTTTTTCTTCCATAATTTTCCGGGTCAAAGCATACTGCGACGGGCTCCAGCAACCGAACTAATAAGAGCCCAGAAAAAAAAAATTAAACATTTAGACACACAAACCTTATATAAACAAGAGAAGAAACATGATGCTAATGGTATGTTTTCACACACACACACACACACACACACACACACACACACACATCGAAAATGAATTCTATTCCGACAAGAAAATGAAGGGGCGGGGGTGGGGGTGGGGGGGCAAGGCATATTTACTCTTCTTTCCGATACTTGTTCACCGCCTGGCGCAGCTTCTCGATGACGTCGGCGGGATCCTGGGCGCCGAAGACCGCCGACCCGGCGACGATGACATTGGCGCCCGCCTCGGCCGCCTGGTCGATCGTGCCCACGCCCAATCCGCCGTCGACCTCGATGTTGAGGTCCGGGTAGCGTTCCCGGAGGGCCTTGACCTTGGGAAGCTCCGAGGCCATGAACTTCTGGCCGCCGAACCCGGGGTGCACTGTCATTACGAGGACCATCTGTTTTGGCGGGGAGGTTAGTGTTGGGTGGGCAGTTTTTGGGTGGGGAGGGGGTGCAGTTGTTGGAGGGATGGAGGGGGGTAGGAATTTTTCGAGGAATGATCATGGTTTATGGTGGAGGGATAGTCAAAGGCTGCGTTGCGAAAGGGTGAACAGGGTAGTCGGGTAGTAGGGCAGGGTAGGGGCCAGGCCAAAACGCACATCCGGCTTCTCCTTCGCATCCTCAGCTTCCAAAATCTCCCAGAGCACGTCCACGGGGGTATCGGGCTTGATGGCGATGCCGGCCTGCATGCCTTGCTCGTGGATGTAGCGGATCAGCTCCTTGGGGGAGGTGTGGCGGGTGGTGGTCGTGTCGGCGGGTTCGGTGGCCGCGACGGAGGAGACGGCGGCTTCGTAGTGGAAGCAGTAGAGGTCGCAGCCGGCCTTTTGGAACTCTTTGACCCATTTGTGGGGCTGATGTTGTCGGAGTGCGTGTTAGTGATGGGATGATTTGATTTGCGTTCGAGGGGGATAGGAGAGAGGGGGGGGGTGGTTGATTGTTTTGCTCCTTTGGCAACGTGTTTTGAACATTGGTTGATTGAAACAAAACTCACCTCCGCAATCATCATGTGGCAGTCAAAAGTTCCCTTGCCGTGCGCTTCCGTGGGACGGGCGACATGGGATCGGATTGCGGAGACGACGGGGGCTCCGAAGGTGATGTTGGGGACGAAGTGGCCATCCATGATGTCGATGTGCAACCAGTCGGCGCCCTGGGCGATCTTGGTTGAGCATTCGCTGCCCAGGGTGCCGAAGTCGGCGCTCAGGATGGAGGGGGCGATGATCGCGGGAGGACACATGGTGGTTGCTGGTTGGGATTTTTCGAATGAATTAGGGGTGGTGGTAGAGAGAGAGGGAGGTGGGTAAGAAAGAGGTTTAAGAATCGTACGGTATACAAGGAGGGGAAATAGGATGAGGGGACTCGGGAGGTGTGGGGAGGGAAGACGAGGGGCCAGGTTTAGTTATACAGTACTTATTTTTCTGGGACTTCTACAGGAGATAAAGCGGAATTATGACAGATTGCTATCAACCGATTGGATCAATGCTGGAGCTTTCTGATGGCCTCCGGCAGAGAAGAAAAACGACCGTGTGGATAAACTGGCGATTACTCGACTCCATCGGGGAATCAACCAGCTCCATCCGGGCAAAAATTGTCAGTCGGTGGTCGTTGATATCATCTTCCTCCGGTCGACGTCAGTCCGGGGAGCCCGATTGGGAATGATACCACCCCGATAAGGGCTAGGGCCGGGCACTGCACGTGGTAGGCTAAAGCTTGCAGCCTGGCTGAGGCCTGACTGCCTGACTGCCTGTCACGCTCCAAAATAGGAAAGGTGACGGACGGCCGGGGGTGGCCCGATTAGTTACTCCATACTTCTTCCATCTCGACCAACTGCCACTTCGTCATCTGCATCTTCCCTTCAACAAATGTCGGTCGGGTGACTCACCAGCGCTTCCTGCTCAACTGTCTGAGCCCAGGACTGTCCTTGCTCTTCTCGCCTGAGTGGGGATGTCGTGCTTTTCATTGTGCGTTGCGATGCCTGATAGGTCGGACGACAGGGCTCCTCAAAAGGGCGTCAGGTCCGCAAGGTACGGAGTTTTGTCCTCCCTTTTGAGTTGACGCTCGGCGGATTCAAAGTTTCCTTCATATTCTTCGACTCTTGGATGTCATCACGAGTTCATTAAATGCGGGTCCGCTGAAGACACTGATCGCTTGAAGCGAACTCCGGCCATCACCATCCCACCATAGTTCGGAGCTTCCTTTCTAAAGATAGCCTCCCCGGGCGCTTACAACCCGCCAATCATGCGAAACTCCCCTCACCACTCCAGCACTCCTGTTCGCCGACAATCATTTTGTACAGGCACCAAGAATCTTTCACTACCTGATTGGCACAAAGAAGCTCCCAGACCATTCTGTTGTCGCCCATCACAGATGGTCGCCCACTGAGGTTCGTCCTTGCCGAAGCGCCGACTCGACCAGCACCAATGATAGTATCTTCAGGCTGCCTACCTGCAGGGATTTCAAGTGCTTTGTGCACAGTGATGCAGTAGTTCCTGCATCTTGGGTGGCAGGTGTGAAGGCCACCGCGTCCGATCTCTCGCCTTCCCCTCCTTTCGGTGGTCTATTTATCAGTGTCCTGCGCTACCGATCGAAGATGGTGATCTTCACCTAACCTTTTCTTGTCTCTTTGGCTATAGCTTTTCGTTTTTTCTTTCTTTCTTTTTGCATCGTTTGGTCGTGCCTTTAGCTCTGGAAGCTGGGCCGTCAAGCGCTCCTGTCATTAATCACGTACTCGTCGACCTGTTGATCGGTGTTGAACGCAGTTGAGATACCCATAAAAGACTCTTGTGGAGTTGATGGTTTGATATTAGCCTTGATCTTGTCTTCGCACCACCTACTGTAATTGAACCCTTGGAACCTTGGGAAAATATCTCACTGCTTGAGCATCATGGCCGACATGCAGTACTCTACCGCCTCAGGTTGTCCACCCCTACGGCAGGTCCGAGGGACTCGACTCGATACTATACCTGAGGACTATCGCGAAACACAATACACGGTACAGAAGGAGCAGGTCGCATCCACTTCTCAGAAATCTGCAACAATCCCCCGGCTGAAATTGAAGACTAGCGGCCTATCATCAGGTTTCCTGAGGCCGAACCGATTCTTCTCGCCGATATCTGCCGGTTCTGTGTCATCCTGCTCGGATACGGAGTGGCAGCAACAGATGAAGCCATTTGAAGACCTCTACGATGCCACAGACGAGGAGTCGGTAACGAGTGACGAGTGTACTTCATTTGCCAGCACGCGACCGACAAGTTTGACGACTCCAACGACGCGAAATTCCATGCTATCGCCAATTTCTCGTAAACGCTATCCGAGTTTGGCCATTCCGCCTTCGCCAGTGTGGCCATCATTGCAAGGTGCTTGCAAAAGCTCCCCAATTCCTCCGACGCCACCCTCCAAGATACCAGTGTCTCCGGCAGCTCTGTCAATGCTTGGTCGTTCTGTTCCTGCCGTGCATGCTCCACCCTCTTTGGACGGAAGTATATCATCGGATCAGGTGTCAAATCTGAGCGCTCCGGCTACTCCAGATCTGCAGTCAATTCCTGATCAGGACTGGCCCGTCCCAGGAGTTCATGTTCGACCAGACTTGGACGAGGTAGAAGACGTTGGGATTCCCGCACTAGATGCAGATCCAGATGTGCAGAGCATCGAGATCGCCTTCGATGCGGCTAGCGAGGATTTAGCCCAGGTCTTGGGGCGGTTTCCTCGCATCCCCGGTCAAGTGACGCCGCCTGCTTTCGACATGGACATGGAACCGGATCTGGTGCGGGGAGATACGCCATCGGACACAGGAGTACATCTCCCCGAAGATGCCATGGAAACTTTACGGCACCTGTCCCTCAATAGAATGCCAGATCCTTGGTCCGAATCATCCGATAGCAACGATGAGATGTGGCAAGTTGAGACTCCACCGCAACGCCCTCGTAGTGCTGATGGTGCAACTCCTGCATCTGAGCTTTCCGGTTATAGCTTCAGCAGGTTGAGCATCCCGTCTCCAGGTGGCTTCTTTGCTTCATTAGCCCCGCGTGCCCGCCATACCTGGGCGATCCCGAACGGAAACAAACCACCCAACTCTGCCACTGCTGAAAGGTTCTACAAGCTACCTTTTCCTCGCACTGAGGGAGAGATTGTTGAGCAGGTCATTGATTATCCGGAAAGAGCGACGGACGAGGAATTAACAGCGGTATATGATCCAAGCGGTCCGCCCACTGCTATTAGAATTCCCGTGGAGCATACCATCGAGCCTCTTGAAACGCTGAGGAGCCCCGTGAGCACGATTGTTGAAGAGATGAATCATGATCAGATGCCCGCTCCATTGTCAGATCAAGCCGAGCGAGATGAAGACTATGAAGCTGAACTCAAGAAGAAAGCGATGTCAGGCTTAGATAGGACCAGTGTTTGGCTGGCAGCTCAAGCTTCTTACCTAGCAGCCTTGAACGAGACAAACCCCGCCAATTCCATCGACAAGGATAGTGGCAGCATGATCGAGGCTCCTCAGAAGCCTGGTCAACAAGCGCCAAGCTCGCTTGCCCGCCAAAGATCGGCCAAGGTCACTGGAATTCTTCCAGCTGCCCCCAGTTCGCAACCTTCCGCTTTGGCAAGTAAAGATTCGATTTACTGGAGAGGTTTCCAAGCTTTACGCGATCAATCAAGCATCAAGGACATTCATGTACATCAACACGCCCGTTTCGATGCTGTCCAGTCTGTTCGCGTCGGTATGCCCGGTTTACATGTTGACTGTTTGATGGGAAAGTACGAATTAATTCCCACTCAACGTCCTGCATACAAAGGGCCCTTTTCTATGGCACCTCGCAACTCGACGCTCGACTCGGCTCGGGTGCAAAAAGCTCAATTCTCCACAGTTGAGAAAGAGCAGTTGGTGCTGTCGCAGATCCGTCAAGCTATGTGGGCTATGGATGCACTGAGGTTTCTCAATGGCGGTCGCATGCTTATCAGCCCTGCATCGAGAAGGCTTCGTGGCTCCAACCGTTCGCCAAAAACATCCGCAAACGCGAATCAATGCAGTTTCCGAGTTCTAGATCTGGGAGGGCATGCGTCGTGTGAATGGGCATGGCAATTTGCTTATGATCATCCTGATGCCAAAGTTACAACGGTCTACACTGGATCCCAGGAGGTCAATCGTGGCATTAAAGGGCCTCCAAATCACCGACATGTTTTTGTTTCACAACCATGGAAGCTCCCTTTTCCCGACAATAAGTTTGATGTAATCTCAGCCCGTTCACTGCCAGCTATGCTGAAGAAAATATGCCCGAGCGGAGAAGTCCTTGACGAATACGATCTGTGCCTGAAAGAGTGCCGTCGCTGTCTCAAGCCCGGTGGCTATCTGGAGTACTTCGTTCTAGACGCTGAGATCTCACACACTGGCCCTCAGGGATCTGCCATCTCGGAGGAGTTCGTTGCCAATCTTCGGGCCCAAGGATATGATCCGATGCCGACCAAAAGCTGGCTTGGACGCGTACAGAAGCACTTCACCGACATCAAGCGAGCCTGGGCTTTCCTACCGATGGGGATCGAGCCCACCAAGACTGAACCACCAAGAGAGACGCCGGATCCGAGAGTCAAGAGTCTTGCTGGGGATTACGAAGCGATACAAGGTCCTGTCGGTAGTACTGCCGACATTGCCAGTATCACGGGGCTGCTAGGCGGATGGCTCTGGGAACAGTGGTGTGTCAAGCTGCAGCAGGAGATCGGGATTGAGCGGAAGAATCTACTCGCAGGGGTAGGCGCTGTGTTTGATGAGGGCCGCAAGAACGGAGCAGGCTGGACCTGTTTATCCGGATGGGCGATGAAACCACGGCGTCAAAGACGTCGTGGCGGTCAACCGGAGGGCAAGGGGGTGAGGAGCCCTTGCATGTGATTCTTTCCTTTTATTTGGGATGTAGACCCAGGAGGTCCATCCATCCTTCTTGATACCCCTTATCTGCCCTGGTTGGCGAAGCTTAATGTAATAGTCGTGCCTCTGGACCCTCTCCATGACAATGGTGAGCTTCAGGCGTGCTTTCTTTATGTATGACGTGTTGATGGTTCGATGGGCAGAGAATGTTTGGGATGGGTACTCTATCTGTCCTGAATCCGAAGCGATGTTTGACAATTAGCCTATAGCCACACTGACAGGAAGTGATGATGGTCACCTTAACAATAAAATCTCCTCTTCGGGGGCTTATATTCCTCGTATATTCTGTACCAAGATTCGATATGGTCGCTGCATCAGGTGCGTAGCCACTGAATCTATCAATAGGAGTGCCAGGGTACTACAGCATTTCAGTTACGGCTTCTCTGCTAGAGCTCCTGTCCCCCATGGATGTATGCTTTTGCTGGAACCTGCACGTGCTCAAGCTAACTGCGCGTTCGCCGGACGTTTTCAGGACCATCGCAGGAGATTATAGATAAGAGATGCTGGAGTCGTTTGTAGCGGGTGTGAGATATCTATTGTTACTGTTTTTTTTTTTTTTTTTTTTTTTTTTTTTTGGAAATTGGGAGTATGAGAAGGGCGTGTTGCATTACATGGAAGAAGATGTGAAATGGGAAAGAAAGGAAAGAGTGGCTGGGATGTAGGACTGAAAGTAATGGATAAGGAATAGATACGATGGATGATGCAGATAAAGCGATTGGCTTAGTCTTATGTCCGGCGCCTGGTGCAATTGACATCAATAGCCCGGATGGTCTAGTGGTATGATTCGCGCTTCGGGTTCAGCACTTGAAAATGCGCGAGGTCCCGCGTTCGAATCGCGGTTCGGGCCCACATATACTTTTGCTTTTTTGTTGGATCCACAGTACTATTGTTTCCGCTTGATCCACTACATTTTTCTCAGCCCTGATTATCGAGGTTGAGGGCTTGCGTTGCAACTGATGGCACCCGCATCGCTATCCGCTGTGTTTCATCCACCACCTCTTTTTCTATATTGTCATTGCTCGGGCTAAGCGCCTATCTCGCGGCTAAGGGTAGCAGATGGCAATCAAGAAAAGAAGAAGAGTGTAAGTAAGTACCTTTCCCATTTGGAATGGTGGGCGGAGACCTGACAAAAATAAAAAGAGGTTAATGGGCCCGAACCGCGATTCGAACGCGGGACCTCGCGCATTTTCAAGTGCTGAACCCGAAGCGCGAATCATACCACTAGACCATCCGGGCTGTGATGATGTCATGGGATATTTACTGTAGCCCTCATCCTTGCCATACTGAGGTATGAGAATAAGGTTAGAACCCCAGTGCATGTAGTCAGAGTGTTTCATGTTTACTCATACTTGCAATTATTGGTCTCAGGCTCAGTGCTGGTGTCCATGGCACATGGCGGGTTTTTATGTGTTCAGAAGGCTATTGTGGTGATGAAGAAGAGCAGAAGGAACGCAGAAGCCTGCATACTTCCCCGACTATTGGTCTCACGAATCACCTTCGACAACCCTGGCTTCGTTCCACTCATTAGTCAAATCTGCGCATCCTTCCGGCCTTGATCGTTTCAAGGCGTGTTACTCCCTGTATTGCCTGCACGCTGGAACGAGCTGTGTGACTGAGACGGAGGCGAGCGATAAGAGTACACGACATGTCAGCCCCAATCTTCTTCACCATTACCCGGGTCACCCCGGTTGGCGATGGAGAATTAAACCGCCGTTGTGTATCGTTTCGTGCTGGTGCTCCCGCTGCGTAACCTCCTCATGAGTGGATTGATTGTCTCTCATATACTTGCCATGGCATTTTTGAATTCCATCTGCTCGAGACTTCAACCGAAGCATTGCACCCTTTCCAGAACCCTATGACCATGAAGTCCACGGTGCTCGCCATAATCATTTCCGGGGCTCTGGGCTTCAGGGCCGAGACAGGCGGTTTGTCGGAAGAAACCCTGGTATGCTGGTTCTATTTCAGGCAGGAAGCACTACGGGCCTTCAACTGACCTAAAAGGACTGTCGACAGAATCTACCCCTGCCTATGATCCAGAACCTTACAACATCTAACAGCTTTGTCCCTAATTCAACAAACTCATGGTGGTCGTCCTCCTACGTCCATGCGTCTAACAATCATGATTACTTGATCGTCTCCCAATGTTTGCTGATGAGCGCTGGCTTGTACCGGGGCTCCATCCTTGATATTACCGACCCGAGCTTCTATCGCCAATTCGAGCGTTTTGCAACTGCCCCTTTTAACGATCCCAGTCAGAGCAGTGGTGGCATTCTCAACATCACCTTTGAGCAGTATGGCTTCCACACGACACATGACGATTACCCCCTCCAAGAACTACGCACCTGGAGCGCGGTCGAAGGCGTAGAATTCGACATACGATTCCATCTCTCTACCCCAGTGATACTCAATGGCGGCACCGGCCTGTTCCAATGGGGCTCCGAGTTGACCCATGAATGGTCCATGCCTGCCGGCCTCACATTTGGAAGCTTCGTCGTGAACGGGTCCCGACTGACCGTTGATCCCACACGGTCTATGACCTGGTACGACCGGCAGCTAATGTGGCCGAGTACACTGGCAAAGGCGGCCAATAAAGCCAACTGGACGTGGTTCGAACTGCACCTTGACGACAACAACAACAACAATGCCCCAGCCGGCAGAGCCGACAAACTGTCGATTTGGGCTTGGGATACCACCGACCATCGACGTATTCAGTTTGCGACGGTTCGCCACGGGCCGGGAATCCACCAGGTCCTGCCTGTGACTGTGTTTGCCCCGTCTCGGCGAACCTGGACCTCGTCGGTTTCGAAAGCGACTTACCCCCTGGATTGGGTGGTTACCCTCTGGGATGGAACCACGCTGTCTATCTCGAGCGTACGACCGGACCAGGAGCTTTGTGATTCAATGGGGCTTTCGCCTACGTACGAGGGTTATATTCGGGTCAATGGTTTTGATGGAGACGGTCGAATGATCTATGGGTATGGTTTGGTTGAACAGGTCCCTGTCGGGTTTCTTCCGGCCATGACGCCGTCGAGCGATGAAGGATGATATGGTGCTATTGTCTTTGTATATGCTCTAAGTCAGCCGCTTTGAGCATGCTGTGCAGCGACAAGCTGGTAGGCTGCATCATCAATGAGGATCTATTGTCAGACGATGCAGAGTGATAGTAGTCTACCTCTATGCCTACCTTGAGAAAATCGAGCATATCATTATGCTCTCGTACTACGGATGTGCAGTCAGTCACGGTTTGGCCGCAAAGCATCATTGTCTAATGCAGGGGTATTCGGTGGGAGGGAGGCGAGATCGAGCTCGTCGAATATTATATATTTACGGGCTGCGGTTGGAGTCGACACATTTCGGAACCCCATGTCGACCACACACCATCTGATAAACTAGATAAATCAAGCAAGCAACCCAGTCTTCGATTATGTATGGCTTGTTCGAGAAGTGCACTTCAGTCAAGTGATCGCATAGGAAGTAGGATGCCTCGAGACGTCCATGAAACCAGCACGTGCTTATTAAGAAATGAGTCATCGAAGCGATAGCTGCCTCACGTGTCGGCTCTGATAATCGCAGCAACACCCAACAGTATCAATCAACTTACCCGCACAGGACTTATACAATTCGTCCATACCTCAATTCTCTCTTCCCCTCCCTTGTCTCACAGCTCCCGGAAGAGCTTCCGTATTCCTTTCCTCTTTGTCTCCTGTTGGTCGCGACTCGGATTGCCTCCTCAGATGCTGAATTGACCCCCGATAACTCACGCCGAACAGACAAGCTAGTCGACCGCAATCATGCTCTTCTTCAGGTAGATGGCTCCTGCGCACCGCTGCCGACCTACTGCTACCCCCATCACCTTGTCCATCACGTTGACAAGCTACTAACGCTGAAAATCCCCGAACAGTTTCTTCAAAACCCTCACCAACCAGACCGTCACCATCGAGCTGAAAAACGACATCCGCATCCGCGGTACCCTCAAATCAGTCGACCAATACCTGAACATCAAGCTCGACAATGTCGATGTCCTCGACCTGGACAAATACCCACACCTGTCGTCGGTCAAGAACATGTTCATTCGGGGTAGTGTGGTGCGCTACGTGATGTTGCCGCGGTCGGAGGTGGATATTGGATTGTTGGAGGATGCGACGAGGAGGGGTGAGTTTCTCTCCCTCCCCCTTATTTTTCTTGCGGGAATCTGGAGAGAAGAGGATACGATGAGTCTTCAAGGAGAATGGCGGAGAAGCAGACATATCGATCCGAGGTTCATTGAACAGTGCGCTAATGCTTTTCCTCCGCTGATACAGAAGCTGCGAACCAGGCCGGGAAGGCCAAATAAGCACGAAGAATGAGAGAGAGGACCTGAGCGACAGCGGGAGGATTCGAAGCGGAATTAGGAGGATCTGGATTGGTATCGGTCCTCGAGAGGACGAGGACATAACCTCCGGGCTTTATGCTTTGGCCCCTTTCCCCAAAGGGCGCATCATGTTATGGCACGGTCTGCACTTCTTTTTTACTTTTCTCTTTTTATAATTCTATCATGATGTCATGCTGCATTGTTTCGTGGGGAAGAGAGTGTGTTTTGTGCTTCATTCATGCTGGCCGGTGAGGGAGCTGATGTTGCGGTGTGTATGGTGATGACGAGGATCGGGCTAGGATAGCCCAAGACTGGGAGGCAACGGTGATGGCGATGATACATTGACGGAAGAGAGAAGGCGGACGGGGTGATGCTGGCCATGGGAGATGAACGTCGGTGGACTTCATCCTCAAATGTGTCTTTAGCCATGTTCGCATTGATGGCGGGAGGGCATGAGCAAGCCATACAGCGGCCATGGGCCCAGTAGCAGCACCATATTTGAATGCTCTTGGCTCTCAGACAGGCGAGGAGTGCTTGATTATTCAAGTCGGCGGTTCGGGGCGTCGTCCTGCTTAATCCGCAGCATACCTAATCGTTTGCTAGTGAAATAGTGCAGAATACCTGTTCCAGATCATGCCCCAACATCAGACATGACTTTCTCGATCAAGTCGCAAGTCGATATCTATATTCGACTGAATCCCTCCAACCTCAATTTCTAGCATACTTGACGGTCATTCTCCGACTAGGAACGGTGACCTTGGTTATGCAGGACTAAAGTAGAAGTGCATACATAACGTCTGTTTTATGCACAGCAGGGAGGATGACCCCGCATGACTGACATTAGGACATGACCAAAGGGCGGCAATTGTAGATTAAGAAATTCTTGTACTAATTGAGCTGCTCTGATTTGAAAAGGTGCACAATTAGATCTAAGCATGTCTATATATAGTCAGGCATGAATCTAGCTATAATTATCAATTTTCGGTCCAACCACGATTGATATCATTGAGACAGTGTTAAGCCATCCTTTAATGGGTTGGATACACGTGACTTCGTGTCGCGAAAATCGTCGAGGACGAAATCCCGCCGCGCCGCGCCTCCGTCTTCCGCTTTCCGTCCTTGAACTTCAACCTACATTTATTCCGGTTTGCTAGATAATGCAACAGATCGTCATATATACCTTAATCTATACTCTCCCCCATACCTCGGATATACGAACATGCTAATTGACCTATCCTCGACTCAATAACCTTACCACACCTCCCTCCCGATAGACCCTCCCGCATCTCCGAGGGACCGACCGCAGTATGGCAGGATCCGCCACCAGAAAAGGCTCAACGCCAGCCAAGGTCCCCTTCAGCGCCAAATCTCAGACCCCCGCGAAGCGCAACGGCAGTCTGCTGAACTTCTTCCAAAAAGCCGATGGACCGCCCAAAGCCACCTCCACCCAACCTCGGATCACTCAATTTGCCACCAAAACCGCCCGGCCGACCAGCAATGGCCACGGCAGCACACCGACGCTGCGCAGACAAGGGAGCTCTACAGCCAGCAACGGCGCAGGTGATCTGTTTCTCGAGGACAAGAACCGGACCCGATCCGCGACCTACGCACCCCCCGAGCCGCAACGGACAGCACGGTCGAGGACTCCGGACGATATCTGGGAAGGCGAGCCGGAAACGCCGGCGCCAGCGACAGCGGCGATCGAGGAAGCCCGCTACAACGAGAACGGATCCTCCGGCGTCAAGAAACGCAAACTTGATTCCCCGTCCGCGGGCGATGACGCAGCAGCAGCACGAGCGAAGCCGTCCGATGATGCCGACGCTACGCCGGTAGCGGCGCCCGCGAAGAAATCCCGTCACCTCAGTGGTCCCTTCATCGATGAATCTGATAGCGAGGAGGAGGAAGATCTGGAGAAGTTCCGTGATTACGCGGATGGGCCATCGGTCGCATTGATAGATAAGCCCATTGCCATTGCCACGGAATCGCCCGTCAACGCCGAGGAAGCAGATCCGTCAGCCAAAACACGACCGACGCCCGCTGTTGAGACACCACCATCCTTGGTAAGAGAAACCACGAGTTACACCGAACCTGATGAAGATACGAATTTTGACGATATGGAAGACGAGTTCCGAGGGGAAGAAAATTTCTTAGATGCCTTTGATGATGATGATGATGATGACGATGGACATAATAACCAAGAGAGGGAGGTGTTGATTGGATTGGAGGATTATAGTAATGGCCCGGATGACGACGGAAATACGTTTGGTTGCGAAGTGCCCATTTGTCCGATCTGTCAAACTAGTTTGACTGGTCTGAATGAAGCTGTAAGTTTTTCCGATTACGAATTGCATGGATAGTGTGGTAATGGTCTTCTGTTCAGGATGTCTCGGTGCACGTCAATGACTGCTTAGATGGCAAGCCTAGTACAATACAGCCAAGATCTGATTCTACAGGCAAGTTCGAGCCCGGGATCAAGTCTGAGCCTGAGATCGATCCGGATCCCGAAATCAAACTTGAACCTGAACCTCCATCGAAAGCACTGGCTCGATTGGACCGGGCGGCGATTGCTCGCCCCGCTCAACGTGATCCTTACACTTCCGGCGGGACTGCAGCGAGGTCTGCTTTTTCCAAGCTCATGGCTGGAAACGCGGAGGACAGCGCCTGGGCCGCAGCGGCGGCCAATGAAGTGGCATCCAGAGGCAAGCAGGCATACCAACGGACCTGTCCATTCTACAAGATCATGCCCGGATTCTCTATATGCGTGGACGCGTTTCGCTATGGTGCTGTCGAAGGCTGCAATGCCTACTTTCTGAGTCACTTTCATAGTGACCACTACATTGGCCTCACGGGTTCATGGCGACACGGTCCTATATACTGCAGTCGCGCGACGGCCAACCTAGTGTGCCAGCAGTTGAAGGTCAATCGTAAATGGTTGGTGCCACTCGAATTCGAGAAGAAGACGGAGATCCCTGGCACGGGGGGCGCACATGTGACAATCATCGAAGCGAACCATTGTCCAGGAAGTGCCATCTTTCTCTTTGAGAAGACCATGGGATCTGGCCCATCGAAACGGACGCATCGGGTGCTTCATTGCGGAGATTTCCGCGCCTCGCCGCTCCATGTGCAGCATGCACTCTTGCGCCCGGAGGTTGTCGATCTCACCACGGGTCAGCGTCGTCAGCAACACATAGATGCTTGCTACCTAGACACCACGTATTTGAGCCCCAAATATGCCTTTCCAAGCCAGGAAGATGTCATACAGGCTTGTGCCGATCTTTGCGTGGAGCTGAACGAGGGGCAGCAGAAAAGCAACGGGCTTGCCTTTGGCTCGTCCGGCCGCTCTCCTGGGATCGGGGGAGGGTTGATGAGCAAGTTCGTTTCCAAGGTGACAGGCTCTTCCGGGTCGCAGTCTTCAACATCGAACTCAAGTGGCCGATTGCTGGTGGTGATCGGGACTTATAGCATTGGGAAAGAACGGATCTGTCTGGGAGTCGCGCGCGCTCTGCAGAGCAAGATCTTCGCCACTCCAGCCAAACAGCGGATCTGCGCGTGCCTGGAGGACCCAGAGCTGTCAGCGCTGTTGACGGATAACCCACGCGAGGCCCAGGTGCATATGCAGACCTTGTTTGAGATCCGAGCGGAGACGCTGGCTGACTACCTGGACACGTTGAAGCCGCACTTCACGAAAGTGGTGGGCTTTCGACCGACCGGCTGGACGTACCGGCCGCCCGCGGGCCGCGTGCTGGATAACCCTCCTGTGTCGACGGTGCTTCACTCGGCACATTGGCAGACACCGTTCTCGGCACGCGACCTCGTGCCCCAACGGGGCAGCACGCGGGAAAGTGCCTGTTTTGGGGTGCCGTATAGCGAGCACAGCTCGTTCCGGGAATTGACCATGTTCTGCTGCGCCCTTCGGATTGGACGGGTCATCCCAACGGTGAATGTGGGCAGTCAGAAGAGTCGTGAGCGTATGAAGGCGTGGGTTGAGCGATGGGAGGCGGAGAAACGGAAGAGTGGTTTGTACCAGGTCAAAGGCGACCGGTGGTGACCTAGTGTAGCAGAGGTATACATAATTTCTGTACATAAGGTTTCCAAAGTGTAAGACACAAAGTCCCAATGAAGCAATATGCAACGAGCTCGATCTCATTGGTAGAGTTCTCTTGGGAGACGGACGGTTTATCTCAATTCTGACTGGCTCGTGCACCCCAAGCGCATGAAATAGACTCCAAATCTATCCCTGGATCGACAATTAATGGGGGGCTGATCCTGTTCCCCCACAAAGGAATAACCGTGATACCCGAGAGGTTAGGCGGGGAGAAGATGTAGAGTCGGGGTGGGAGATCGGCTGGGGAGAGGCAGCCACGGTAGTCGAGTCTGGGCTGTCACTCCCGATTTATCTCCCGGCTGGATGTGATAGCCTCGGGGAAAGCTGTCCCTCTTTTCCCTTTTAAATCCCACACCCTTCGGTCAACCCTCTGTCCATTATCTGTCAACACCACTGATCAACACTTCAGTCCTTCCTTATTATCTTCGATTCGTGGATGCTTCTTCTATAAGTTTTTATCTGCTGATCAGGGTCAATACCTGGAGTCTTTGTGCTGTAAGTGAGCCTGTGCACATATGATTGCTGGAAGTTCCGCCGAGGGATTCCCATTCCGTTCCTTCGGCAGTTGAGATCGGCTGTCGTTCCTCCTCACTTTCCCACTTTTCTTCCCCTGTTAGCAATTAGACTAACTGTCAGTCCCCTCCCCCTTCAGTTCACTCTATTACCCCGGATTTTCGTCGAATATCCAATCAGACCGGTCGGCCGTCATGATTGCCGACTTGCTCTCGCTGCAGGCCACCCCTTATCTTTTCCTGGGCTTGGTGGCCGTCTATTATCTTCTCCCCTACTTGCAAGTCTGGCGTCTACGTGATATCCCTTCTCCTGGCTTCGCTGCCTTCTCCAACTTCTGGCTCCTCCTTCAAACCCGTCGCGGATCTCGGTTTCTCGTTGTCGATGATGCCCACAAACGCTATGGCAAACTCGTCCGCATCGCGCCCCGCCATGTCTCCATCGCCGATGACAACGCGATCCAGGCTGTCTACGGTCACGGAAATGGTTTCTTGAAGGCGTACGTTGTCTGAAACATGATCTTCATGGAAGCTGGCTCACGGAAGTGGTTTAGGGACTTTTACGATGCCTTTGTTTCCATTCGTCGCGGTCTGTTCAACACCCGTGACCGTGCGGAGCACACCCGCAAGCGCAAGACCGTGTCGCACACCTTCAGTATGAAGTCTATCGGCCAGTTCGAGCAGTACATCCACGGCAACATCGAGCTCTTTGTGCAGAAGTGGACGGACATGGCCAACACCCGGCGCGACCCCCGCACCGGCTACGCTAGCCTCGATGCTCTCAACTGGTTCAACTTTCTGGCTTTCGATATTATCGGAGATCTTGCTTTCGGTGCTCCCTTTGGTATGCTTGAGAAGGAGCAGGATATCGCTGAGATGCGCAAGACCCCGGATTCTCCTCCTTCCTATGTCCAGGCTGTTGAGGTGCTCAACCGCCGTGGTGAAGTCTCCGCCACCCTCGGCTGTTACCCCGCGCTGAAGCCGTTTGCCAAGTACATTCCCGACCGGTTCTTCAGGGATGGTATGGAAGCTATCGAGAACTTGGCTGGTATTGCTGTCGCTCGAGTCAACGAGCGTCTGCGTCCCGAGGTGATGGCCAACAACACTCGTGTGGACCTCCTTGCTCGTCTCATGGAAGGAAAGGATGGAAATGGTAACAAGCTTGGTCGTGAGGAGTTGACTGCCGAGGCCCTGACCCAGTTGATTGCCGGTTCCGATACTACCTCCAACACCTCCTGCGCCATTCTATACTGGTGCATGCGCACTCCTGGTGTGATTGAGAAGCTCCACAAGGTTCTCGATGAGGCTATTCCCAAGGACATCGAGGTGCCGACCTACGTCATGGTCAAGGAGATTCCTTAGTATGTTTCCTTCCCTTTTATTTCTGTCGTTCGCAGTTCCTGACTATCGCACAGCCTGCAATGGGTTATCTGGGAAACCATGCGTATCCACAGCACGTCGGCCATGGGTCTTCCCCGTGAAATTCCCGCTGGCAACCCTCCCGTCACTATCTCCGGCCACACCTTCTACCCCGGTGACATCGTCTCTGTGCCGAGTTACACTATTCACCACTCCAAGGAGATTTGGGGCCCCGACGCCGACGACTTTGTCCCCGCGCGTTGGGACCCTGCTCGTCTCACTGCCCGCCAGAAGGCCGCGTTCATTCCCTTCAGCACCGGTCCCCGTGCCTGCGTTGGTCGCAACGTTGCTGAAATGGAGTTGCTTGTTATCTGTGGCACCGTGTTCCGCCTGTTCGAGTTCGAGATGCAGCAGGATGGACCCATGGAGAGCCGTGAGGGCTTCCTCCGTAAGCCTCTTGGGCTGCAGGTTGGCATGAGAAGAAGACAGATCGGTGCTTAGCTTGGTGTTATAAAATTGGGCCAGTGCGTTTGGGTTGGATTTGGCGAACCCGAAATTGCATGTTTCAGGGAAGGATGGATGGCATTTTGTATAGATGGATGATATGATGAGATGACAATCTAGCTATGAGATAGCTCTGCACATATATATGTACTTTATGTTGTTTGATGCGTACGCAATTCTAGGTATTCAGCCTTGTGGGATATGACTTGTATGTGCCGTAAGTAGGAGCGGATATTGGACCTGGTCTGCATTCATCCGGGGGTTATTCCATGGTACTAGGTAGTGCTACACAACTTGTCGACTACCTTAGTCGACGGGGCAGACTACCGATAGACTTTGTCCCGAAGAAGTGTGGGAACAGTGGGCATACCAACTATGTACATAAATGTGAATAGAGATAAATGCAAGCGCTTGATCCCCCAAAGTAGTAATTCCCACGCCGATCATGGATCATCGTATATTCATCACTTTTAGCCTCGGAACAGCAACCACCAACAATTGAAACCTCCACTGCACTCTACCTTCACAACCCACAAACACCATCTACCTCATTCGAGCCCCATCAACAGCCCCACAGAATCCTCATTCGAGATGTCCAGCAGAAGCATGGTAAGTAAAGCCTAGTCCCTGCCGGATTCTTGGTACCGCACAGCATACTAAAACCCCGCGCCAGTCCGTCCAATTCCGCTACGCCGATGACATGGGATTCGGCACGGCGGAGATCCGCGATCAGGTGACGCGGTAAGGCTGTCTGCTTGTGGCAGTAGATGACCTTCACCTACTTCTCCAGTGTTCTTAACAACAAAACAACCCGCAGGATTATCCTCGAAGACACCGGCTCGGACGTCTGGGCTAGTACGCGGAATATCCCCCCGACCAACTTCTTGACGTAAGTGGTTTCTGCCTCAATATTGCTGAGTCTATGGAAGGTGGGAGGAGAAGGATCACATGTTACGGGGTTGCTTATCCCTGTTTCCCCGAGGTTAGTCTCTCCGAGAAAGCAATCGAGCAACTGCGGGCGGTGGACGGGGTGGTGGTTCTGCGGGCTGAGGCGGTAGATTCTACTCAGTAGATTTTGGGGATTAGTGGCGGGGAGGGACTGTTGTCAGTACTATCAGTATGTGTATGTACTGTACAGCACAGTAACAGTGTTATATGGCCGGATGGCTTCGGAAGAACAACCCGACCATCCTCTTTAGCTATGAGTAAGCTCAGCGTATAGTACTACTTCCTTCCTCCCTCCTCAATTTCCCTGCAAGCCCACCCCAAAGTCACCCTCCACTCTTCCTCCTCACCCTCTAGGATGTCATACACCGTCTGAAACACCTGCCGCCCCCACCCGGCAATCCACCACCGCTGCCGCAGCGCATGCAGCACCACGCAGTAATGCGCCAGAATAACCAGCGCCAGCGGCCGGCGGCGCCGTAGGAGGTCGAGGAACCCGGTCGGCAGGGAACAGATCCAGAGGAAGCTGGCGGAGACGAGGTCTCTGGGGGTGTCGTCGTCGCGCTCGGCGAGGAGGTGGGCGAGATGGGTGATGGTTGTTTGGTAGATTGGGTATTCCTCGGAGTTGGAGGAGGTAGGGGAACTGTTGTGGAGGTGCTGCAGGAGGGTTGTGATTGCTTGGTGGGAGGGTTGGGATAAGGCTGGGGGCAGATTAGGGTCGTTGTGGTTGAGGCGGAGGTGGAGAAGATCCCCCATCTCGGTTGTGCGGAGGTGCGGGATCGTCGGCGTGGAGAAGGCCATCATTTTGCGGATGTGCGTGAAGATGTTGAGGAGGTCGTCCAGGGGGTTTGGGTTGTGGTTCTGGTTGTGTTTGATAGTGGGGTGGCCTGGGGAGGTGGGTTTTGCGGTTGCGAGGGGAAAGGCGAATGCGAAGCCTATAAGTAGGCAGGAGAGGGCGAAAGTGGTGGTTTTTCTGTTGGTGGTGCTGGGCAGGGCTTGCATGAGGAGCGTGATCGCGGCGCTTTGGTGGTGTTCCGCTGCTGTTATTAGGCTGCTTGTGTGGTGGTGCTGGGTAGGTGAGATAGGTTGCTGTAGGGCGAGGTGGAGAGAGGAGATGGCGAGGAGGCCGTGGAGGAGGTACGGGCATCTGAGGGCTTGTTGGGGGATCACGGTTTGCCAGATCCGGCGGTCGATCGGGGTGCGGGCGATGGAGTGGCAGGTGGAGGTGGTCCAGTTGAGGAAGAGGGGATGGTGATGAAGGGAGGTGTTGATGAGTGGAGGTGATGGTGGTAGTGATACCATCAGGCGAGGATCTTGATGGTTTGCCGGTCTGGTCATAGGGTCTGGGGGATGTAGATTGAGCGTTGGATCCGATTTTGATGCTGCAGCTGCTGATGTTTTAAGGGAACTCGCATGGGCTATCTGCATGGATTGCTGGGTCCAGATCCAGGGCCCAGAGGCAGCATAGTGGCAGATCTCTTGTCGCTTGATGCAATGGGAACAAGCCGGCCGCTTTTCGTCGCACTAAACATTATGATCAAGAAACAGTAAGCAGAGGCTATCTTCCGACACCTGGGCTGGCCTGCTATACGCCTGACCTTGACACTTCGCTGTTTGCATCGACGACAGCCGTGGTGTGAATTCTGCTTCTGCTTCCTTTTTTGACTACTCATGAGGCGATTATGTTATATGAGGTCTACTTTCCGACAGGTTTGTAATGGTATGGTGGTGATAGCAAGGAGAAGATTAGTGGCATGAAGAATCACTCTGGCAAGAACTAAAACCTGGTACTGTGATGACTAAGTCTTTTTTACTCTTTTGAACCAATCTGTCAATCGAAACTAAATACATGTTTCCAGAATGAGACCTGACAAGACCTCAGCGTCTATACCACATCCGAGTCACTTTCCTACGCCGAATCTTCTTCTGTACCATGGAAATCCCATACAACAAAGCTTCGGCCGTTGGCGGGCCTATAAATTTATCAGTCATCGGCAAGTCTTTCATGGAACCTCTAGCTCGCGGAAGACAGCACTCACATCCTGGTACATATACATCCACTGGAACGATTCGATCACAGCCCCGGACCACGGAGTAACTATAGTGATAATACCCACCCCCATTCGCGCAGCTGCCCATACTGATCACAAATCGTGGCTCGGGCATCTGATCGTAGACCTGTCGGAACGCTGGCGCCATCTTGTTCGTCAACGTGCCGGCGACAATCAAGAGATCCGCCTGTCGAGGGGAGGCTCTAAACAGCATCCCCAGGCGTTCTATGTCGTAACGGGGACCGGCCGCATGCATCATTTCCACGGCACAGCACGCCAGGCCGAAGGTCATGGGCCACAAGGAGCCCTGGAGGGCCCAATTGGCGACTTGGTCGAGGGTGGTCCTGGACGCGACTCAGTCAGACGGGGCCGGCGAAGAGAGAACGAAGGTTTCTGAGAGTACTGACAGTGCGTATTGAGTGGAGCTTTGGGGTTGATCGTGCGTCGCAAGGGCGACTTCTTTCCGGCGGCGTCCACTGGCCGTCAGAGATGAGCGAGGTCGCTTGTCAATCGGTTTCTGGCATTGGAATGGCGTGATTCTCGCGCTGTGTAGAAGCTGCAGGCTTCCTTGAGAGATGGAATCAGTTAGAGTCCTGATTCGAGAGTCGTCACTCTCCCACGTCTTACCTGCTATAGATCTTCGAGAGAGGGACATATCGTAGGGTACTTGAGTGAAGTGTTCGGCGCAAGCCACGAGCAGTCAAGAGCACTTTAGAAAAGCCCTCGTCGCAGTCCATATATCCTATTGATATCATGGTCAAATAGTCACAACTGAGCCAGCCGCTAATTTTTTTCTTTCTTTCTTTTTTTTTTCAGCAGCGAGACTATATCACGGAGCCAGGCACTGTACATCGCCTGCAAAGAGTATATCTTACGAGTGTTACCGCTAGTAAGACTGCTGACCCACATATCACATCAGGCATTAATTACGAGATTCTCGGTGGTAGCCCGCCGTACCAGACGATACATACCCAAAGCACCCTTCATTTATCTTTTCAAATCCACTGGCTTCATCTCGATCGTCTCATACCGCAATGACCATTCTCGTGTCTCCTGAATGATCCACTCTTGAGAGTTCCGGTGACTCGAACTATCCACAGCCACCCTGTCCCGAGTTTTCTGCTGTGAGGTCTCCGATCTTCCTTTCCCTGAAGCAGCATGAGACCTTTCCCCAGTCGCTGACGCCGTACTGGGCTGATGGTAATAACCACCACCATCTTGCCCAACTGTGCCTTGACCCCAACCGGTGTTAAAAGCCACAACAAAAGGTTTGAGACAGGGCAGTGTCGCTGCCATGATACTGCAATGCAAGAGAACCTGAGTCAGGATGACTGCGTCGGAGATGTCGAGAAGGAGGTCACTGGTATGTGCAATGGTGTTCAGCTTGGATTGCCGCACGATGGAAAGGATAACAATCCTAGAAGACAGAAGGTCAGAAGCTGATTTCGAACAAGGTAGGAGATATTGAAAGGTGCAGAAGTCCTACCCGATCCTCGTACCAAACGCCCCGATAACACCAGCCTTACGCATTCGTGTTAGACGAATCGGCCACACAAGATACAAACTGAGGATAAGCAACGAAAGTTCGGTTATGACATCGAGGACGGTGATGGCTTGCCATCGAGGGAGCTAGGACTGCCGTCAACTTGGAAGTCATTCACAAACAGAGCAAGGACTTACAATGCTCGCACACTGGCCGATGAGCCACGGGTGACGAAATGGACATTTCAAAGAAACGATCAGAATCGATACCACCGCCCACAGAACAATTCCCACCATCACTCCCTGACACGCCCTCAGATATGATCTTTCCCTTCCCAGACGTTGCAAGAGAAAGAGAACGGACAGTTTGGCTGCACAATGGCCAGCCAGGAACAGTATATTCGCAGCATATAAGTCCTAGACGAGTTGGAAAATCAGCCGACGAGCCTCAGTCTGTGATGAACCATCAAGTGGAGCATACCTGTTCAGCGACTTCGGTTTGAGATGCGCTTTGGTGTTTCTCTGTGCTTCCCAGTCCCTCGTCGACACCTTCCATCGCCACCCCGACATTAGCGATCCCCAAGATCTACCCACATACCCAGGTTTAGTATATCCCAGATCTACAGCACACTCCAGTATTTGGCGTATGATCGATCCACTTACAGCAGCAAATATTGCCAGCAAGTCGTCCAGCCCCCACGGCCCTATGATCGTCAAGCGCATGTAGATGCGAAAGAGACTGACCAGAACCATCCAGGACATGAAGAGAGTCGCGACAACGACCACCAGACCACGACGGTCTGTGTCTGAGATCACATAGGCTGCATGTGGCATATCGACTGATCCATACTTCTGTAGCCGCAGTGGCAATTTGTGTTTGAGAGAAGCCAGAGATCTTTCTGTCAATTTGCAACTGGCCCATTTTTAATAAAATCGGAGATTTGACACCCCCCTATTGAACAACAGTTTCAAAAAGTCTTCAATCCTTGTCCACTGGAACCGGTCGAACATATGCCAGGAAAAATTCGCGCAGACCAGGGTGCGTCTCCCCATTGCCTGATTTAAACCGGACTAACAGGGATGGATATAAGAGATTGATTATGCCATTTACAGAATCGTGCTGAGCAGTGCCCTCCTGCAGCGGAGTTTGTGGCACAGTCAATCTACATAGCGACGGGGTTTTTAGTGTGCATAAGTGTCGTTGCATTTGCAGGGATACTGCGGGATGAGCACTTTGGGAAATTGGCCCGTGGAGGTCTCACAATCAATTATTCGTAACCCTAACTTTTAGCTGCCGATGGACCATTTCAGTATATTAATCTTATCCGTCAATGAAACGTCCAGACTAGCCGGCCCATGGGCAATCCGTGCTGCGATGATCACGTTAAGTAGGGGGGGTCCCCTCCTTTCAAAGTGCGCGCTCTTCTCTGCAGCCTACCTTTGGCTCATATACTCTCACCAGTGCATGCAGCCATAATGTTGAATACCACGGAGAAGGCACCGGAGTTTTCCACGTACTCATCCCCTGGAGAGTATGAGAACTCCAAGGCTACGAGAAAAGATGGCACGGTACAGGATCGAAAGGATATGTGGCGTGTAGGCAGAGAACAGGAATTGAACGTGAGCATACCAACTGAGTCAATGCAGCCTGTTGATGAAGTCTAACTTGATCAGCGAAACTTTCGACTTCTTTCCGTTGTCGGGTTCAGCGCAGTCTTGATGTGTACCTGGGAAGCCGTCTTGTTGTATGTTTGTCCAGTAGCATGCACTGCACCCTTGACTAACTGGATCGGACAGTGGTGCTTCGTACGGCCTCACAGATGGAGGAAAGGCAGGAATGATTTATACCTACCTCGGGGCAGTGATAGGCTTCAGCTTCGTGATTCTGTCGATGGCTGAAATGGCCTCTATGTAAGTGATTCAATACAAGTGGATGTGAATCGTTGCTGACCACCTCAGGGCTCCAACATCTGGCGGGCAGTATCATTGGGTTTCAGAGTTCGCACCTCCCAGCAAGCAACGCTTTCTCAGCTATCTCACCGGTTGGGTGTGTGTTTTGGGCTGGCATACGGGAATTGCAGGCTGCTGCTACACTGTCGCCAACATGTTGGTCGGCCTACTCGCGATCAACTACCCTGACAGTTATGTCTATCAACCCTGGCATGTGACGCTGATCGTGATCGCAGCAGCCCTAGGGGCACTCTTATTCAACACCCTTTTGGCCCAGAAGCTGTCTTTCATTGAGGGTATTATTCTGATCGTGCATTGTTTTGGCTTTTTCGGCATCTTGATTCCGCTGTGGGTTTTGTCGCCCACGGCCCCTGCTTCGGAGGTCTTTGGGTCGTTTGAGGACAATGGCTCGTGGGGTAATATGGGGCTTGCGTGCTTGGTAGGGTTGACAGGCCCGATCTATGCCCTTATCGGTATGTCGATGTCTTAATAGGCCGCCTGCTTTTACATACTGATCCAATCGTCCCATCTAGGTCCCGACTCTGCAGTGCACATGTGTAAGTTCTCTGGCCGCGGCCCCTGCCCCTTGTCAGGAACGGAACTGCATTCAGTTTCAATGCCAACTACTAAAACCTCTCCAGCCGAAGAAATTCGAGATGCTTCCCGCGTCCTCCCCATAAGCATGGTTAGCACTTTAATCCTGAACGGGATCACCGGCTTCATCATGATCATCACCTTTGCGTTCTGTCTCGGCAACATTGAAGAAGTCATGGCCAGTCAGACCGGATTCGCCTTCATCCAGGTCTTCTGGAACGCCACTGGCTCGACCCGCGCAGCCACCGGGATGACAGTCGTGATTATGATCATGCAGTTTTGTGCTGCCATCAGCAACGTCGCTACGACATCTCGACAGATTTACGCATTTGCCCGTGACCAAGGCCTGCCGTTTGCTGGATTTTTCTCCAAGGTACAACTTCCTTTGCCCCACCAGAATCGAGATCTGTTTGATCCCAGAACAGTGCGATAACGCAAAAGTTTTGAAGACTAATATATGAAAATCAGATTCACCCGACCCTCAAAGTTCCTCTCAACGCCCTATGCGTCAGCATGGTTATCGTGGCCCTCCTCTCCCTCATCAACATTGGTTCCGCAGTCGCTTTCAATGCCATCATGTCACTAGGTACAGCTGCCTTGCTTTCCTCATACCTGATTTCTATTTCGTGTGTGCGTCTCAGACGATGGAGAGGCGATTATCTCCCTCCGGCACGGTGGAGTCTTGGACGCGCCACGCCGTTCATTGACACCATCTCGATCCTTGTGCTAGTTGTCATCCTAACGTTCAGTTTCTTCCCTCTCACCAACCACCCCGATGCTGCGGACATGAATTGGAGTATTGTGATTTTCTCTGGGGTGGTGCTCTTGGCTGTGGGCTATTATGTGCTGTACGCGAAGCATCAATATCGGGGACCGGTGACTAGGGTCAGAGCTGAATAGGAGTTTCTAAATGAGATAAACTAAGTAGGTAGTAAGCTTAGAATTAGTATTTGCCTCTATAGCAGAGAGACACGCATATAGACCGCCACTAAATTCTGCCTGTCTGATAGAACTTGCTGCACAGCTAATACGGGACTCATTATCCAATGGATATGCGGCCCGCGGGCGCCCGTTTTGTTCTTACCCTTTGCGGCCGGCCATCTCTCCCCGGCCGGAGCTCACAGCTTGACCCCAGGCCTCATTCTCGATTCTCAATCCACTCAACCAGGATCAACCAGGACCCACCAGCTTGGACAGAAGATGACGTCGTGCGTGAAAGGTATTATGCGGGGGAACCCCGTGCTGACAAGTTGACAACCAAGGATACTAGGACATCGATTATATATCAATATGTCGGAAATAGAGCACGAACCGTGGTTCGGCCATCGCACGAGACTCTCATATCGGCCCAGATCGAGATCGAACACCACTGACGCCACAGAGCCAGGAATCCAAATAAGCAACTTGTCATGCACATCTGCTGTCTGAAAAATGCCAGGAACAAAGTCAAGTGAGGACTGCCAGACAAGCATGGTGGCCTCTTTTGTCTGGACATGAGATACTCAAACTATCCCATCCCAAGCTCTCAAATCAGCAGCTACTCCCAGCCATGACTGAAACGATCAATCCTCAACTATGCGAGGCAAAGGCGCTCAAGGCCCTCATTCCGGGCCTCCTAGCAGAGAGTGCAGTTACAGGTATCACTCTCGATTTCGGACACCAATCATGGGCACGGTCGCTAATCTTATGAATGATTCCTAGATGATGGACGCTTGCTCGTCGACCTACAGGAGAACTGTCCCCGCCTTGCGGGCTTCCTCGATGTCCTACGGCACCAGGCTGAGCATCATCGTCCGTGGATGCCCGAAGATAGCGCCACGCGGTTTCCGCTCCGGCTGAATGTGGTCATGCACGTCGTGGGTTCTCGTGGGGATGTGCAACCTTTCATTGCGCTTGGACAGGAACTGCAGAAACACGGTCATCGCGTACGGTTAGCCACGCACCTAGTATTCCGAGACTTTGTGCGCGCCCATGACTTGGAGTTCTTCAACATCGGAGGAGATCCGGCGCAGCTCATGTCGTTTATGGTCAAGAACCCCAACCTGGTCCCTAAGGTGGAAGCAATCACGCAGGGGGATATCAGTCGACGGAGGAAGGATGTGCGAGAGATTCTTGGTGGCTGCTGGCGATCGTGTTTTGAGCCTGGGGAAGGCATTCACCCCTTCAATCCGGCTGAGTGTACCGGTGCGCCGCCATTCGTCGCAGATGCTATTATTGCCAACCCACCGAGCTTTGCACACATTCACTGCGCAGAGAAGATGGGGATTCCTCTTCATTTGATGTTTACGTGAGTTATTCGATAGTGGTTCTTTTCTTCTTGTTAAATGTTTACATGGAGCACAGGATGCCATGGTCGCCCACGCAAGCCTTTTCACATCCACTGGCGAAAGTTCGCTCGACAAATACCAAATCGTCAGTAGGAAAGCTGATGTCGTACATGATAGCGGAAACGGTTATATGGCAAGGCGTGGGTGACCTGATCAACGAATTCCGCCGCCATGAGCTGGGACTGGAGCGACTGGATTCTATGCGTGCACCCAGCCTTCTTTCTCGGCTGAGAATCCCTTTCACATATCTGTGGTACGTACAACTGAAGGATATCCATTTGTTGGGAGCTCGAATTAAACGGGGTGTTTAGGTCTCCTTCCCTCTTGCCGAAGCCTGACGATTGGCTCGATCATATCGATGTAGTTGGGTTCTCCTTTGTGCCGCATGACGACAAGTATGAGCCGCCTCAAGATCTAGTCGATTTTCTTGAAGCTGGACCACCACCGATCTACATCGGGTTCGGATCCATTGTTGTCGACGACCCGGAAGCACTGACGCAAACCATCCTCGAGGCCGTTCGAATGTCCGGTCAGCGAGCAGTAGTATCCAAGGGTTGGGGTAATATCGGTGCTGACGAGGCTGATGACCCGAATGTCTACTTCCTAGGCAATTGTCCGCACGACTGGCTGTTCTCCCGGGTATCATGCGTTGTCCATCATGGTGGTGCAGGAACGACAGCAACCGGGTTAGCCTTGGGCCGGCCCACCGTTATTGTTCCATTCTTCGGTGATCAACCTTTCTGGGGGATGCTTGTTGCCTCCAATGGTGCTGGGCCTGCGCCAATCCCCTCTAAATTATTGACAGCCGATAAGCTTGCGGGCGCAATCCGGCACTGCATGGAACCCGAGATTAAAGAGCAAGCCAAGGTCTTGAGCTGTAAGATTCAAACCGAGCAAGGTGCCGCAGCAGCAATGGAAAGCTTCCATAAGCATTTGAGCCTGAATAGGTTGAGATGCGCTTTGTGCCCTGACCGTCCGGCTGTATGGCGAGTGCAGCACACAAGCATTTTTCTCAGTGCATTCGCTGCTGCAGTCCTTGTTCACTCAAAGCAGCTAGACCCAAAAAACATTAAGTTGTACGCTCTCTTGCATTTCCATATTTTTTCGGTAGACTCATCTTTGACAGACTTCGCATTAAATCCTACGATACGAACCTTGATCCGGGCGTTCCAGGTCTCCCCGGAGCTGAGATGTTCGCTGGATCTCTCACGAACTTTTTCACAGGCTTGGTCGAGATGCCTGTTCAATTAGTACAAAACTTCGCACGGTCGCGTTCCATCAGATTCGCCGAGAGGTATAGTCTCTCGAGCTATTGCGCGACGCAAGCGCCTGCTCCCCCGTCGCGCTCGACAACTCTGACAGATAAGCCCGAGACGCGTCAACGATCAGACTCCGGCATCTCCATCGTCCCTTCGAGTAATTCGCTTAAATCATCCTCCAGCCAGAGCTCCCTGGACATGCCGGCCATGAACCGTGGCACGGCGTCTGTAAGTAATATACTCATCAATTCTGGCTACACTGGACGTCAATTATTGGACTGGATCATTGAGATCCCAATGAGCGTCACATTCATATTGTGCCATACATTCCACAATGCTCCTCGATTCTACCACGACCAAACTGTGAGAGAGGCACCCATAGCCACAGGAGTCAAGTCAGGATTCGTCGCAGCTGGCCAGGTTAGACTCACCGTATGAGGTACTGCTTTGTCACAGATGGCTAACGTGTCACAGGAGTTCGTGTACAGCTGGTACGATGGGATCACTGGCGTCGTGACTCAACCTCATCAAGGATGGGATAGCCAAGGTGCTCCCGGTCTAGCATCCGGGGTTGGCAAGGGTATCGGAGGACTGTTGATCAAACCTCAAGCGGGTAGGCTTCGAATGGCTTCTCTGGTCTGGCGTGCGCATCACTGACTGTTATGTATAGGTCTATGGGGCTTGCTGGGATACCCTCTGAATGGGATTCATCGCAGCATTGCCAATTCCTATGGAAAGAATAGGCGATGTTGTGTAGTGAAATCACGCATTGCTCAGGGTATCGCAGAGCTCCAGCTGGCCTCTGATGGTCAGCGGGCAGCCGTTCTCGCACGATGGAAGGATCATTACGAACAGAAGGTCAAGGCTAAACTAGAAAAGAGAGATCGATAGCAGAACGGAATTTCAAGCGAGTTCAATCCAATACATTCTTGTGCAACGAACTTCTTACAGCTTTATTCCCTGAGCCAGCACATTCACCACCTTCTCTTGAAATTCCAAGGCAAGTTCTGCATCCCCGTCGCGAAAATTCCCTGTCAGACAATTTATCGTGGCCTGGGCATAACCGTCGCCCATCTCCTTTGGCAGATTCTGCTGGGCTAGCGCAGTCAAATCCGAGGCGACCTTTTTAGGCCTTGGTAGTCGTCCGTTCTTTTCGGCGTCGCGGATTTTAGACTCCATCAGTCGAGACAACGTCACCCAAAGGCCAATCTCCAACAGCACCACACCCAAGGCGTAGATGTCATGGCGCCGTTGAAACTGTCGGGTGGGTTTTCCCTGTCGATCAGGATGACGGTAGAGGTTCGCTTCGGGTTCGAAGTCTCCACGCATGTCCGTGCCCTGTTGCTCAGACCGTGCGTAGCCCCAGTCACTCAGATAGGCGAGTATTCGATCTTGGGACTTTGGGGTGCTTGACAATCGGTGCGCCTGAAGGCCCGAGGTGCGGACGCCTGCTGGAGTCTGCAAAAACAAGAGGATTCCTTTGCTCCAGACATTCTTGTGAACCCACTTCGAGGCGTGGACATTTAGTAGGGTCACTGCGAGGCAATGCGCCATGCTGAACCTATCATTCAAGGATGGCCGTTTGAGTGGTCGTTTGTTCTCCCGATCTACAGCGTTGATGAAGCTATGGAGGGTGGTGAGTTTTGATGTCGCTGCTGTGTCTTGTGGCTGATCCACCTCATCTGAAGTTGGAAGTTTATAGAGGAAGACGTTGCGCTCCTCTTCCGGCTGGTCGATGAACCCTAAACACTCCATCGCATAAATCTGAGGTGGCTCTAACCCTGGTTCAGTCTCGGAGGACTTGTGACTACTGAAGGTGCTGTTTTTCAAAAGCCAAGCTAGATTGCGAATGGGCTCTTTCAACTCTTCAATCTCATCTGGTTCGAGATCACCGCCTTTCAACATGCCTTCATACTCATGAAATTCTATCACCACCGGCGTGCCGGATGTCGAGCCGGATGGTTTCCAGCTTCCCAATTGATAGCCGCCCGACACGTTACCTTCCTCACTGACTTGGCCTTTCAAGCTCTGAAAGTCAGCCGGAGCATGCGCTTCGATCAGTTTTCGCCGCTTGATCACAGGCTCCAGCACGGTCGCCTTGAGGCCCTGATCGTTCTCATCCACTACCCGGGACAGTGTATCCTGGGATAGATGCTGCATCAAATTGCGCAAATCGGCCGACCAGCTGGTATAGGCTTCAAGTATCTTGTGCACCCGTTTCTTGTCGAACAACGACCAATCATAGCCCTTCAGCTTCAGGGACGTGGCTTTGGTCTTGATGCGTTGCAGGAGTGATTCTTTGACTTGCTCGGGTCTCTCCAAGCCTCCGTCCTCTTCATCGCCTATCACAAGGCCATACTTGACAGCCACAAGCTCATACTCGGTCAATGTCTTGCGCATTTGAACGAGTAGGCCCTCGATGGTTTGTGCAATGAAAGGGTCGAGTTTTCCGGGCAGGAGCAGGCCATGATCAGGGTGAACAAAAATGCGACGGAAAAAGAGCAGTGTCGAGAGCTGCACGTTCAGCTTCAGGCGGACTTCCGCCCGGTCCTCATCGAAGGATTTGATGTCAGAGATAACGCCTTGGATAAAAACGGTTACCTGGTAGGCCTGCGTGATGGCCGTTACCGCTGTGCCGTAAACATCCATTTTGGATGCGATCGCTTCGGTCGTTGCAATTGATTGAGGGCGAGCGACGGATGATAAAAGCACGGACGGCACAGAGGGGAGGGGGTGGGGGGCTGACAGGGTGTCATAAATGTCAGACGCGGCTGAAGAAATGCCGGCTAATAAGCATAGTGAGGGGCTAATATAGCTCTAGATCCATAGCGCCGCCACCGGTTCGTTTACAGGCCGGTAGTGAAGAACAAATACTTCCTTCCCCCGCCTTGCGCGTCAAAAAGTACATCCCTTGACATTCGCATACGCAACCATGTCGGACGATGAGTCTTTCGACCTTCTCTCCTCTCTGGATAATGGGGATCTTTCTCCATCGTTGAGGGACTGGGCCTCCGGCACTGCCGATAGCTATGATGTTGTGGATTTGGACCTGGATCTCGATAGCCTGAACCTGTCGTCGGTACATTCTAGTGACCTTTTGGAAGCAGCGATTACTGCAACCCGGAATGGAGAGTCGGCGATTCTAAGCACAGTATCTCAATTTGCGGGCATATTGTCCCAGACTGGAATCCATGGACCGCGACTGTTGAAGGCCCTCAACCTGGCGACGCGAGCAACGAAGATCGGCGCTGGCTCCCAGTTTACTGTCTTCAAGGAAAAGTCGCATGAAGGATATACCGGCAATGAGGGTCTGGTAATCAAGCGGGTGAACGTGCCTCTTTCCCGAAAAGCCGCCCAGCGATTTGCAGACACCCCAGATTATCGTCTTCAATTGCGCACACTCGGACTAGAGCTACTCGCTCTCTGCAATCCGTCCCTGCGGCGTCACCCCAATATTGTTCGGCTGATCGCGTGGGGATATGACTATCCCTTCGCTGATATGCCGGTTCCGGTCCTTTTCGTGGAAGCCGCTTTGATGCCATTGACGGACTTCCTCGCAGTTGACAATGGCTGCTCGTCCGAAGCCAAGTATCAATTAAGCTTGGATGTTGCGAATGGCATTGAGGCATTGCATCATCTGCAAATAGTGCATGGTGATCTTAAGCCAGACAACGTGCTTGTATTTGGCATGGAGAGCGAGAAAGTGCCTTTTAGAGCTAAGTTAAGTGACTTTGGGGTCTGCATCGATCTGGAGGCCCCCGACGCTCGGCTTACTATAAGTGACTATCGTGGAACGCCGGCGTGGCTGGCGCCCGAGGTGGCCAACGATGATTTGACGCGCTTCTGTCCTTTCAAGCCGGATCTGATGTTTCGATTCGATGCATACAGCTTCGGTCTGACGGTGCTATCCATGTTTGTCAATCGAGGAGAGCCGGTCGATCTTGACGAAGACCCCGAAAATGCAAGCGAGGAGATCTCTGAGATGCTGTATGAGCGTGAAGATATACCTTCTGCATTGCGTGCGGAGCTTCGTAAGGCGATTCTCAAACTTCTCGCGGAAGATCCAAGGAATCGACCGCTACCGACTTCTCAGCTGTTGAAGACGGATACTCCTGCGTATGCTTCTTGGTATGTGTACCCCTGATATCTTCTTACGAAGAGATTCTAAGTGAATAGGTTATCTCTTGCCAAGATCGGAAGTGAATCTGCTCCATATGTTGGTACGTTGGACCCAATGTACAACAAAGGGCCATTGTTTTGGTACCGACTGGATCCTTCCGTTTTGGCCGAGCTGGAAGCACAATACATGGCGGCGAAGCAGGGTGCGTCGGCAGACACCCCGGGCGATGTCCTACTGGGAATGGCGCAGACCGTGACAGGGGCCAAGCCCTCATATCTTGATCGTCTTCTTTTGTACGTGACTGACGCCGCGAAGGGTGGCTATTCTCCAGCAAGGGCTGTTTATGCTCAAGTAATGGCTGCTCATGACCGATCACCCGAGTTCGAGGCGAAGGTGCTGGAAGATTGGACTTTCAAAGCCGTCGCTGAAGGATATCTTTTTGCTCCTCCATCCACTCTTACCAGTGAGAAGCTGGAACAGGCGAAGAGCACTTTTCGTCGAAATGGCGGACTATGTGCAGATCCTTTCCTGGGAAAACAGGCTGTGGTAGATGCCGCATGCAGTCCCCAGAAGGCTGTCAAATGGAAGCTGGAACATGGGTTGATAGTTGATCAAAGGGGAAATACCATCATCCATGCAGCTGCTGCGTTGGGAGAGCTTGATACGATTCGATCACTCCTTGACGAAGCGGACACAGCTGTTGATGTCGAGAACGATAGTGGAGAGACTCCACTTTACAAAGCATGCCAGGCTGGTCATGCAAGTGTGATTCAGTACCTTCTTCAAAGAAAGGCAGATGCGTCTCGTACAACACGACCGACTGGATTATCTCCGTTGCATTGGCTCTTCATGTTGCCGGATGAAGCCGCCCACTTGACTGCACAGCAGCTAGTTGCAGCAGGTGCTGATGTCAACGCTGTCATCCGACCCGTGGTGGGCGAGAATAGTGGAGGATTTCCAGAACGAATCCAGATCGTGCATTAGTGAGTTTCCATAAGCCTTATCCTAGTTTAGTCATTGCTTACGCTACAAAGCCCCTTTGAACTACCTCATGGGACGCCCCTGCATTGGGCTGCGGCCTTTCGCAACCTAACAGCAATGAATACCCTCATCGATCTAGGTGCCAATGTGAATGCGAGTTACTATAGCTGTGATAGCGCAACCACGCCTCTTGCACTTGCTGCGTGGTTTGGTGATGTCGAAGTCGCTAGGACTCTCGTGAACCGTGGAGCGGATGGCAGGCTCAACGACTCGATGGGCAGAAACATGCTCCACAGCATGACAAAGTACTTCCCTGAGCGACATGGCTACCTTCCCCACCATTGGCACGCATGGATCCGACACGGCAACTGGGAGACATATCTCGATCATACAAGCAAGCTAATTCGTCTCCTGCTAGATGCTGGGGCGGATGTAAATGCTAAGGACACGGGATATCCACCGCTCAGCCCCATTGCTGCTGCCGTCGATCTGGGGGTCTGGAATGGTGGCATAGTCAGCGCCCTGCTCGATGCGGGTGCAGACCTTCACAAATCAATCTTGTCGGCGGGAGACACTGGTATGTCCTGGGCAGTTCCCTTTGTCATTTGTCGCATAAACTTGACAGGAAGATTTAGTACTTCACTCGTGGGCCTCGATCGTGGGCCCCCGGCTAGACTACCCAAGCTCATACATCCCTACCCTCCGACGGATTGTCACTGCCATGCCCGACATAGACATCCGGAACAAATTCGAGAATGACACGCCCCTGCATTCTCTGTCAACAACATATCACCCCGAGGACGAATTCGAACAAGCGTGCGAGATCCTGCTTGAGCACGATCCTCCAGCAGACCTCAACGCGCAGACCCGCCGGGGCGCCACTCCTTTATCGATCGCATTCGAAACCAAAGACGCTCCAGCTAGGCGTGGTCTCTTCCTGTTACAAAAAGGTGCCTCGCCAACACTCCTCACGGATCAAGGCAAAGATATTTTTTTCGCCATCGCCAATAACTGCGTTCTTCATGATAAAGAGACTTATGAACTGATCACCGCTGTCCTGCAATACATCTCTTCTGGCAGATCCGCCACAGAGAGCAGGACGAGGGACACCGGAGACATCCATGAGACTTACCAGAAACTGTTCCTCCCTAACCCAGGAGCAACACATAGTCTCACAGCCGCCGCAGTCCGCGGCAAAATACGAACTACCACTCTGCTTCTTTCTTTGGGCCTGCGATCGCGCCTGAATGATCTTGATCCCAGCAAGCCTCGTGGCTTTACTGTCCTCGACCATGCCCTGCACTCCGCCGAGCTCAGTCGCCGAGCCCATATGGAGAAACTGGCCACGTATAAGCCGGGTCCAGCACAGCGGGCCGCTGTAGACGAACAGATCGTCTATGAGGACGGGCAGGGTCCACCTTCTCGAGCTGCAGAAGCATACCATTCTTTTCCGGAGGTGCTGCGCTGCCTGCGTGAGGAAGGTGCAAAGCGGGCCTGTGAATTAGAATTGTCGGATAGCCATGCTGATGGTGGCGACGATGCTACCATCGATGGCACGTATATTCAACAGCAACGATGGTGGGATTGGACTTCCATTTACACGTATGGATATACCCCGATCACACAACCTCATCGGGAGCGGTGGGAACTACTGTACGAGCTGGCAAGATATCCGGTCGGTTGGAGGGAGGAACAGATCGAGGAGCTGACGGAGCGGTATATGGACGGGATTTGGAGGCCGGATACCCGTTTCTTGGAGGAAGAGGAGGATCGGCAATTCATTGGCGCGGTGGTGGCAAAGATTGGGGGGGTGGATGGCGGTGGAAATGAAGAGGGTTCGGTGGTGCGGTTGGAGGCTGTTGATCCGGTGAAGGGCAAGGTGGAGGTAACCGTTAGGGTTGCGGATGGGAGAGTGGTTAGCAAAACTAAGGTTAAGTGATTTTTAGACGTATGTGCACGTATATTGTTAGATGTAGTTTGATGATAATTGACTTCGGTGCTACTTTCGTACTGTCTTTATGTAAGGCTTGAAACGGTCTCGAATGCCCACCGTACTGTGGCATTGAGGATGGACGAAGGGCAAACAACCCCGCTACAATGATATAATGCCCAAAGAAAGCCCGTCTCGCGTCCCATACCCTAGAGCATATTGATGCAAATGCTCCTGGGGAATTTCGAATCCTTATTCTTGATACATGTACTAGGTAGTAGACGACTCAGAGGCTGCTGATCGACCCTCAATTTTTCAATGTTGGGCACCCTGGTCAGGCCCTTTCCAAATTGTGGGAAAGGACTAACTCCGCAATTTAACTATCCGCCGCGCGATATGTCGATAAGATAGTCGGATTTTCAGATATTCCTGTCCACCACCAACCGAAAAAGAGGGTAATAAGAAAAAGAACGTGAAAAAAAAAGCAAAAAAGAGATGGTCCCAGAGGGGGTCGAACCCTCGACTTTAACGTTATTAGCGTTACGCTCTAACCAACTGAGCTATGGGACCCAGTTGATGTATATAGTCTTCTCTATTGCCAATATATCCTATTTGTACGCTCTCTGAATCAATTGTTTATGGTATGTCGTGAGTATCACACCAATACGTACACATTCTCGTTTAACTGGTACCTGGCTGAAGAGTAC